CAATTTTGAAGAACATCTGAATTAGAAACGACGGATTATTATCCTTCCTTTTTAAGTGTTTTCTTTTTTAAAGTCAATGCTAGAAGAAATAGTCTTTCAAGCAGTGATTGTTGTCATGGTATATTTTGACTATTTTTGAAATTATTTTTTAGCTTTATAAGAAGCGACATGAAACTAGTTTGCACTTTCAAACTTTATATCTCTGCCTCTTAATAAACTAAGTCCACAACTTCAACAACTCGACACCCTGACTGCAGCCCCAAGGCTTGTAGTGCTACCATATAATTGATCTGGCCGCAGTATTAAAAATTTCGCATTCTGCTCTAATTTTTTTTTTTTTTTCAGGAACATCAAAACCCAATAAGTTTTTGTCAGAACCTCAATTTTAAATAACATTTCAGTGAACAATTATTATTCAGAAATCGTGAGATGCGGTCTGGTGTGATGTAGGTTTCAGAAAAACATTTTCTTTATTGTACCAACGTTTCGATCTTTAATGAGATCATCTTCAGGGCTCAAAGTGTTTGTCTTCTGTGTAATTGTGCCATTCTTGCGTGTCGTGTTGAGAGCATCTCACGATTTCTGAATAATTATCGACCAACGGTCAATAATCACCACACATTTCAGTGAACATGAAGCATGAAGGAAATTACCGATTAAATTAAAATCAAATATTAATTTTCGAAATACTTTCTCCTTTTGATTTCTTATGTTAATTAATAGTTTTGGATTGGTAACATGTACCCTTTGAACATATTTGAACCGGTGCCAACACGGATTAGATCGATGTTAATCTTGGCGGACGCAGGTCCGTCAGGCGAGTCTAAAGGCAAATCGCCGTGAAGATGAAGATAGATTGAATGCGCAGATTGTCTTGTCCGTATTATTGCCCCCTGGGGAAAGCGAAGACTGCCAGTTGGGGAAAAAATTAAGGTTTTTATATCTGGGAGTTAAAACGTCAATTTAATATAATATCTCGCTTATATACATTTTTATATTAAATCCAGAGAGAGAGAGAAAAAGGGGATCGAGATTCATTTCCCACTCTTTGGTTTATTCTGTCTAAATTACTTTTACTAACGTTTTTTTTTTAAAACAACTTGTAAATCATTACAATTGTATTGTAATCGGTATGGTTTACAAGTTGATGTGTATATATATATATATATACACACCCGACGCACGTACAGTTACACAGCGTGTATTATCACAATAATCACTATCACAATCGCAACGCCTCTTTTGTTATTAATGCACCATTTTGAACGAAACCTTGTAACAAATTGTTTGTTAAATGTTATGAGCACAACCTTGTAATAAATTGTTTGTTAAACTTAATCGTTTTAAATAAAGTTATTCCGGTGTTTGATAAATTTTCTTCCTAACCATCAAAATTAAATAATTTTTATAAAACCTCATGAATTTCTGATAAAAATTGTTTAATTTGGTTTACATTAAAATAAGAATGTTGTAACGACAAAATTACATATACATAGTTTGAAATAAACTACAAAAAATATGAGTGTACTCTTCTGGCGCTTCTCGACGAAAATGGTGTAATTTTATGAGCAAAACCATGAAATAAATNTACACAGAAGACAAACACTTTGAGCCCTGAAGATGATCTCAATAAAGATCGAAACGTTGGCACGATAAAGAAAATGTTTTTCTGAAACCTACATCACAACAGACCGCATCTCACATTTCTAAATAATTAAAATAAATATGTTGTAATTAATATAACGACCATAATACATGTTGTTTGAATAAAAATATGAGTGTCCGGTTCTTTTGGCTTCGACTGTACTCGATGCTACCCGACGAAAATCTGGAAAGCGGGGATCTCATAGCGTAGGGTAGGGTAGCGTTGCGTGGCATCCACACACACACACACACACACACACACACACACATATATATATATATATATATATATATATATATAAATCAGTTTTCAACACAAAACTCAATTTTGGAGAAAAATCTCATAACACTTGTATTTTTAAAATTTTATTCCCTCACAATAGATTGATGTATCGTTTTTCATGCCGGTCCACTGCTCTTATGACCTTCCACTGTGGTTTTCAAAACTCCACATTCCCACTAGATTTATTATATGGTTTATATCATCCAAGGACCTATCATTACCGTTTTTTAAACATGAATATGCCGCTCAATGACCAGCTGTTTCAGTAGTTGTAAATTTTTTAATGTCTTATTACGCCTAGACTTTCTTAACAAATACAGATAAAGTTTATATTTTTCCAAAGAATTCATAAAACTAAGGCTAGTCAAATGTTAATGAACAGGTTTCTTTAGTGATCTACTGTTGTTTATTAATTAATGACTGGTAAATATTAAATATAATCCATTATATTTCGCTGTCCGATTGACCAAATAACCTCTTTCAATTAATTAATCTAATGTAAGTGTTGGTAGAAATAAAAAAGATAGTGTCACGAGCGGGATTCGAACCCATGATCTTCGGCTAGGCCTTAGGCGAAGGTCGTTGTCGAATCCCGCTCGTGACACTAACTTTTTCATTTCAACCAACACCTTACATAAAGATTAATTAATTAAATATCAATACCATATTTACCATCTTGGAACGTGTTCATTTGATAAAACACTCAAAAAGACACCAATGATGATAAATATTTTTTATTATATAAAAGTTGGTATACACAGAGCCACATTTTTGTGACTTCCATTTTCGTTAAGTCAACTAAATGACGTGTCAAGAGTGGATGATATAGGGCGATCCATTGTAGCTTCCGACGGCCAATTAGTTTATCCCTGCCGGCCGCCTGCTTTGAAGCCCACAAATCACCGTCAACGACTATGAATTCCTGAACAATCGGATCCAATTAATCTGGCATGTGTTCGCAACACGATGCATGAAGAATGACGGAATCCGACCGAGAGCACAAAGCCGTTCTACGGAGTTCCCCAAAGTAAACAGACAGGCCGGCAATAGAGGCGGGAGGAAATTTTCCAGCTGAGGAGAAAGAAATTCATAAATGAGTTATACGCAATTTCTCCAGGGGGCCTGCCTGATAAAGTGTCTACGCGATTTAACGAAGAGTACAATATGAAAGAAGGATTTTTACCTTTTACCATGTATGACGTACGCCTCACTTATCGTCCATAGTACAAAAAAACTTGCAGGTCGATAGGATAAGGTAAAATTTATTTAAAGGGGAAAATGTTATGTAAAGAACAAAAATATATAAGTAAAGCTGATACCTAATAAAGATTAATTACAAATATATTATTATTTAATTTTAAACTGTAATTACAAACTTTTTAATGAAAACGTTTACATACTAATAAACCAGTTGTAAAAATTGTTTATTTTAAAACATTTTCAACACTTTGCCCGTCTCATCTTCAATTTTTTTACTGTTTAATAAACAAACAATGCTCTTTATTTATTAATACCTTCATCATCCCTCATGATACATTAATTTTAAATATAGCATTAAAATTTTATGAATCATTGCTAACACCACAGTTGTTTGGGTAAAAAGGCTTGGGTTATCAACGTTTTTTAATGTTTATCAGAGCGCATAAATCAATTACACTAAGGGAGTGAAAAACACGGAAATATATCCGCTTATGTTTTAATTTAGTGTCCGAATTCTTCATTACTTTCCATCCGTCAAATTCTCGTTAAATGAACCCTTTTTCCCTTCATATTAACACTTTTTAGATTTAAATTAAGCTCATTAAAGCATTGAAAAACATCGAAAACCATATGAAATATAAGCATGTAAAGTAAAAATGTTTTATATTGGAAAAAAAAGTTCTATAATATAATTGGGCTTTGGTTAGCTTTAACAACTTTCTAAGCTCTCTCGGCTTAGAAGGCCATATGAAAATTAAATATAATTAAAACTAAAAATTACATAAAATTAAATATCAAAACAATTGTGAACTGACTCTTTTATTAATTTCAGAATTTTTGTGAAATTGGCCGTATTTATATGTATAAAAAGACATAAAAAAATTATTTACTATTAATCTTAAAAATTACGAAAAATTAAACATTAAAATAAAAGATTGTTCTTTCTTACAAGGGTAAAATGTTTCTTAACCAAAATGAAATCTATACATAAATCCCATATTAAAATAAGGCTTTGTTATTTTTATATCTTATTGTAGATAACTTTTCAAATGCACGAATTTTATTCTTCATGTTTTTTAGGTTTTAAAGAAGGGGCTAATTTGAAATTAAATTGGGTAATTTTGATGTTAAAAAAAGGAATTTGAAATTAAAAATGGTAAATTTGAAGTTAATAATGATTAACTTGAAATTAACAGTTCGTTTGAAAATAAAATTGGTTAATTTGAAATTAAAAAGAATTATTTTGAAATTGGAAAGAGCTAATTGGAAATTAAAAGGGAAAATATTGATATTAAAAATAGCTAATTTGAAATTAAAAAGAGCTAATTTGAGTTAATGGTGATTAATGTAGAGTTAAAACTTAATTTGAAATTAAAAATGGCATTGATCCAATGAAGGGTCATTATAATTTTACTTATCTCATATATTGTTAATGCTTTAAAGAAAAGTTCATTTGAAATTAAAAATGGCTAATTTGAAATTAAAAAGAGCTAATTTGAGTTAAAGGGGATTAATGTAGACTTAAAACTGTTAATTTGAAATTAAAAATGGTTAACTTGATCCAATGAAGGGTCATTATAATTTTACTTATATGTTTTTAATGCTTTAAAGAAAGGTTAATTTGAAATTAAAAATTGTTAATTTGGAATTAAAAGGGTTAATTTGAAAATAAATAATTATTAATTTGAAATTAAAAATGGTCAATTTGACAGTACAAACGATTTATTTAAAATTAAATGTCTGATTTAATATGAAAAAGAGTTATTATATTCTTTCTTCAATACATGCTTTTCATAATGTAAAGGAAAGTTTAATTTGAAATTAAAATGTAAATAAATAATTTACTGGTAAAAAAGGGTTAATTTGAAATTAAGAAGAGGAACCTTTGACTAAAAACGGGTTAACCAGTCAAAAAGGGGTTGTTTGACGGAAAAAAGGTGTATAAATGGAATAAAAATTTTTCTTGCTTATGACCAACCCTTAGAAAAACCGCCTATCAAGTCGGTAGTTGAGTAACGTTTTTTAGTATTGATTGAAATAAAACAAAAGAATAATAGCATAAGAATGTATGATACATGACTACATATGAACCATATATTTATCAGATACTTGGACGGTGAAGCAGCAGAAGCCCTACCCCCACTTCGCCACGGTATCGACAACACACCTTGAGCATATTGTTCTCTCCCCCTGTACAGAAGAACCCCAGCCTGTAACGGTTTTCAGTCATCTGCCGATTTTAAAAGCGGTCGCAGTGCGCTGTATCTATCGTGATGAGTCGTCCGGGATATCCTGTCGCATGTCTTTTCAGGGACGCCCCGCCTTCATTAGAAGGGCCCTTGAAGAAAAAAACCCGTTCTTCGAATCTAGCTCTCAAGAGTGAGTAAAAAAAAGAGTTCAAGAGGCATTTCTTCCGGGGGCCTTTGTTTGTTCCGGTAATTAAGAACTAGTGGGAGGATCACTTGAATAAATAAAAAAAGGATTATCAGTACGGCTTTTCGACTTATTGGTTATTATCCGGATCTCCAGGCGGCACGAGTGATCCGTCCCGTTCGACTCAAATATGAAGAACAGGAAAGAAGCCGGATATAAACAATTGAGCCCGGAAAACACCGGTTTTAAAAGGATGGATCGCAGCTTGTCCTTTAGGGCTTCGTTACGGAGAATGAGCTGCAGAATCGGAAGTCGACAGACAGGTGAAATGGGTGGGGGAGCTTCACATTTACGACAGGTGGATGAAGAACGTTACCGACCGGATGCGAGTAGGGCCAGGCTTCCAGTGGTAAGCCTGTACGCCGGTCGGGAGGACATGCGATTCCTCAGGAGGAAAACCTCGGTTAGAGAGAGCAAAGTGCGAGTTATAAAACATAGTCCGTCTTCGGCGTTATCGCCCAATTCTAGGATACGCGTCGACCGTCTTGTTCGTAAGCTCGGGCCTGAAGCGTTCGAGGCGGCCGAGTGCGGCGTAAGGAAAAGTGCGGCGGAAGTGAAAAAAAGTGCCAAATCCAAGGAAGTGGACCAAGAAAACGCCGATAGTACGAAAAGGGATTTTCCGAGGAAGTACAGAGTGAGGAAGTCTCTCGAAGCGATTCCCTTATCGGATCCACCGAAAAGGAGGAAATCGTTGGGAAACCTCCTGGAAGGAGAGGAAACCGAAGAAAGTCCGATTAGTGAGTATAAACAAAACAGCCAAAAATAATTGTGTTAAGAGAGTCGTGTTGAAATAAAGCCAATGTTGAACGTTTTTATCTCGTAGCAGTTGGTGGCAACAGGTGTTCCAATTGTAGAGAGGAAGCAATCCAATGGCATATGCTTTTAAACTATTAAAATTTATTTTTTTATTTACTACTGCACTTTAAATATGCAACAAGCAAAAATGTTGAAATTATTAGTATATTGTGTGCACACATGAGGACACACAAAAGGGCATGTAAGGCATGAACGACGTCCATCCAGTGATTGGAGCCGTTAGTTCATCAACAGGGTGGAGATCACATGGTAGCTATTTTTTGCCAATAAGTGCCTGGCTAACATCGCTTCAGTCTCCGACGAGGATTAGCGAATAATTTTGTGGATGATAATTCGAGGATTAAGAGGTTTGAATGATCGGATTCCTAAGAATCAACAGTTTCGTAACGGAATTGGGCAAATTTCTGGGGGCATTTTTAAGTCGGTATGAATTGTATGGTTAGAGACAGAAAGGAGCGTGAACTGTTGTTCGCAGAATTTTAGATTATGGTTTGTAATATGTTAAGTTCAATTCAAGTCCGTATGTCCTTAGGGGGTCTAGCAGGGCAGTGTAGTCTTGTTTTATTTGTGAATGTAAGTTTGGATCGCTGTCAAGTAGTCTTTTCAGCAGTGTGATTCTTGCATTTAAATTTTTACATTTGAGACTCGTATGGAGATTTCACGCAAGTCGTTTGTCGACGTACAGTGCAAGTTATCGTACTTGGGTTGTTTATTCTTACAAAACATGTACTACAACATTAACAACTAACAGCCTACAACTTTATAGGATATGGGATGTACCTACCATGAATGAGAGTATAAACGACAGGTCAGAAATTAACAAAAGAAATGTATTGGTCTGATTTAATTAATGCGTATTTAAGAATAAAAATACGTGTAAACAAAAAACAGCTGTTAAATTCATGGCTGCCATGTTGGTTACCTACGCCCTGACGGATAGCACATCACTACATTTTCGACCTAACATCTAACATTGGCCCTGGCCTGTTAGATCGAACAATGTTAACAAGCCGATTTTTACAAGTCTACGTCATCATTTTCCTCGATCTAACACGACCTAACAGAGTTAACACAAAGATCGTGAATACCCCAATTATCAAACTTCTTTCCTTTACGTAAATGTATTAGCTAGTAATTTGATGAAGTTTTGTTGTAAATCACAATGCGCTGAGTTAAAACATTGGAACGACGTTCTGGTTTACAGAAGACATGAAGTCCGAATGAATCACCAAGGAAACAGTTGTGCACACTTTATAAAGAACACCTGCTGTTGAACATGATTAGCATTAAACCATTGAGTATTTTTAACCTCAAATCGTCAGACGATTGAATCTGCGAAGAAAGTTTTCACTAGTCTATTCATTCAGACTGGAGGTGTAACGTATTCTTTCAAAATCAGATACATTTGAATTTACTGCCAACAGTAAACAACTCTGCTTTCATGTAAATAGAATTATTTATTCGTTGAGTATAAAAAAAGTAAAGTTTAACTCAAGTAAAAAGTTTAAGTCCTTTTTACTCCTGTTATTTCTTCAAAATAGAAAATTTGAAAGATTTAACCACACATATCGTTTATATCAACGGCAAATAAAGGAGCAAGGAATTTAAAAAAAATAAATAAATAAAGCAAAATTTAGTTCTTCTGGTAAGTTACTACCTTGGTGTTTCCCATGTCCACAACATTTTTTAATATTAAAGATCACATGATGGATGGACCTGTTGCCAAACTACGTGGAAAAAGGATATTCGGTGAGGTCACAACGAAACAACAATTCTTTCGGTTTTTGCCGAGCTTTCGACGATTATCGGCATCACCAAGGCCCGTTTATTATGGTAAAACATAGCAGTTAGAAATATTGTACAATTTAGAAACAAAATTAAAAACAATTATATTAGGGGGATTCGTGATGTTTGTTAGATGTTAACTCCTGTTAACTCGAATAGAGAAATGACCAGTAATATCGTGAATGCCCCCTTCATTTCTTAGAATGTTAAACGTTAATTTTTCCTCAATACTGCGCGTGGCGACTGTTAGAACCAAAAATAAAGCTATAACAGTCCTTGAAGGCTTGTTGTTGTTTGTTATGGTTTTATTTGTAATAAATTGTAAGAAGTTACTAAAATGCCAGAAGTTACTAAAAGAGGAAAATTAATCAACTTTTCATTCAACATGCTATCTATGCACTCGAAATATGCTAACAAATGACATGCTTCAACTCGTGCTGACATACCTAACTTGTATCCTAAAGTCTAACAGCCTACAACTTTATAGGATAGGGGATGAATCTATTATGAATGAGAGTATAAGAACAGGTCAGAAATTAACAAAAGAAATGTATTGGTCTGATTTAATTAATGCGTATTTAAGAAGGAAAAAAGTGTAAACAAAAAACAGCTGTTAAATTCATGGCTGCCATGTTGGTAACCTTCGCCCGAACGGATAACAATATGACTATTTTTCGACCTAACATCTAACATTGACCCTGGCCTGTTAGATCGAGAAATGTTAACTAGCCGAGTCTTACAAGTCTACGTAATCATTTTTCTCGATCTAACAGGACATAACAGATTTAACAGGGATAACACAAAGATCGTGAATACCTTTACTATTTCATCATCATCTCTCTCTCTCTCTTTCTCCCTCTCTCATTTGTTATTATAACAAAGGCTCATAATTTATTATCTACAATCGAGCTCTTTGCATTATTTTTGTCTTTCAAAATGTGCCGCGCTCATGATGATCTTGACATACCCGCTTTTGTCTCGTTCGTGATGGTCTATCTCTGAGAAAGTTTTCCACTTGCGATTTCAATATTTCAGAAGCTAAATTTCTTACTCTAACTCGATGAGTGTTAAACATATGTCTTGAGGAAAACTGAATTTATAATAAATTATTAAAATTTGGTGAAGCTCAGCATCTACATTAAAAAGCTAAAATACAGCATTAATTAAAAGCAATAAAATACAACATAATATATCATTTTAAAATAACGTGATCGTATAGCTTACCTCGATTCATATACGTACATGCCTCTTTTCTTACTTTTTTTCCAGGTATATTTGGATATCACAGTTGTTGATTAATTAAGCTTTTTTTTTATAAAATGTACTTTATACAGGTAACTAAAATCACAGGGCTAACGTCTTCCACAATGGAGAGACCTGGGGCCCCTAGACTCTCTCCATTGTGGAAGAAGTTAGCCCTGTGATTTTAGTTACCTGTATAAAGTACATTTTATAAAAAAAGCTTAATTAATCAACAACTGTGATATCCAAATGTATCTGGAGAAAAAAAAAGTAAGAAAAGTGACATGTACGTATATTAACCGAGGTAACCTATACGATCATGTTGTTTTAAAATGATATATTATGTGAGATGTTTAAACCGTTAGGTGATTATTTGGAGATCGTGAGATGCGGTCTGGTGTGACGTAGGTTTTAGAAAAACATTTTCTTTATAGTGCCAAAGGCCAAGAAAATGGTTTTCTACATAAATCACACCAGATCGCATCTCACGATCTCGAAATAATCATTATATATTATGTTGTATTTTATTGTTTTTAATTAATTCTATATTTTATCTTCTTAATATGTAGATGCTGAGCTTCACCAAATTTAAATAATTAATTATAAATGCAGTTTTCCTCAAGACATATGTTTAACACTCATCGAGTTAGAGTAAGATGATATAATTGTTTTTTATTTTGTTTCTAAATTGTACAATATTTCTAACTGCTATGTTTTCCCATAATAAACAGGCCTTGATATAATCGTCGAAAGCTCGGCAAAAACCGAAAGAATTATCGTTCCGTTGTAACCTCATCGAAAGTCCTTTTTTCACGTATTTTTTAATATTTTTATTGTTAATATACAATTGAATCAATTTATGCATAAACAGATAAATTACAAGGAAACAACTTAAGTTAAGTGTGACCGTAAGCCACCCATCAAAGACCAACCATTAGGCAGTCTCTTTGACTGCATGACAAGAACCCGATGGATGGCTTGGTGGGCGTAGTTGGTCACGAGGCCATCGACGTCTCAATTGCTAGGGAAAGTAAAAGGAGAAAGGTCATGGATGAGGGAGTTTGAATTAACGGACAATTTAGAGTGGAATTTGAGGTATCGGGATTTGGCTAGGTCAGTAACATTCGAAAATGTGAGTGGAATGTTGGAACTATGAACACAGCATATTTGAGTCATTAGAATTATCAGCATGCAAGAAATATAATAGTTTCTTTACACGCTGTAAAATTGCATCTAACATATCTGTCCAATGGAAAACCAACGTCCAATATTGAAAATTTCACAGATAACGACGCTTTCTCAGAATCTGCGATGTCGTCAGTTTTGAATCTGGTTACACAAGTCTAAAATCAATTAATTAAATGAATTATAATCTCGATATATATTATCCGAACTTGTTTATTTCTGATACACAAAAAAAATCCATATTGTTTCCACGTAGTCAGCTAACTGAAAATCAAGAAAAGTTTGCTATAAATATTATTATTTCTTTTACGAGGGTGCGCAACAGCAAAAGTTATATCAACCCTCGAGGTGCCGGTGTCTTTGAAAAAAAGTCCGATCCATCGACCCGGTATTCGAACCCGGGACCTTTATCTTACGGTGATGAGCGCCGTGTCAACGCCTAAACCGTTGGGGCCTCCGACGCCCTAACATTATTAATGATTGTTAATGACTATCCAGGTCGAGATAAATTTCTAAATATAAAGTAATAAACCATTCATCTTAGCAAAAACAAAATCAAAATTTATTCCCAGAGTGAACGATAAAACGAGATTGTGATGCGTCTCGAATAGATAAAAGATTTAACTTATCGAAAATTTTGATTACCGTCAAGGTTCATTATCAATTCAATATTAAACCGATTGTCATTGTCAATTTTAATAAACTATTACAATACTAGTATATTTTTCTAATTACATCGGTGAACATACAAGCTATGTATACAATGTAATTCATATCTTAACTAAATATTCAATCATAGCAGGCAAAAATATAATTAAAGTTTAACAATTTGTAGATATACAGCGGAGAATCTAGAATTACACATAAATAAGTTCATTTTGAAAATAGTTTTTCTAATATTTAGAATAAAGTTAAAAACTAAAATTAATTACTTATACGGGGTGGGATGTCTTTATTTCTATGGGATACCCACTTTTCATAAAAACGAAGCGTTATAAAGAAAGAAGTATAATAATCTCCAATAGATTTTACCGAAAAAATTTTAATGGACTAAATTTTTTTTTAATGACACTGCAATATAATTTTTTGGTAAACAGGAGAACGTGAGTTCGTATCTCGCCGGTTGTAACGGTGTAATAGAAATTCTACAGAAAGAAAAAGACAGAATAAGCAGAAGAATATATATCAAAAACAAAAAATTCTTTAAAATACATATCTATCTTCTCCAAGATATTTATACATAAATAAAAAACAACAACAAACAATATAAACAACAATTAACATAATAGAAAAAATAATTTTAAAAAATGATTCTTTGGAGATCGTGAGATGCGGTCTAGTGTGACGTAGGTTTTAGAAAACCATGTTTATAAATCCCAGGCCCTGAAGATGATATCAATAAAGATCGAAACGTGGAACGATAAAAAAAATGTTTTTCTAAAACCTACCGCATCTCACGATCTCCAAATAGTCATTAACTAACGGTCACTAAGCACCACACAAAAAAAAAAAAAAAAAAAAAAATAGGAACGGCGATTGAAAATGTTTGCAGCAAGCTTTGAACGAGAGAAATCCCGTATGGTTTATCTCCATTAGTTTTTAGAACTAGGCGAACACGCTCTTTGTAAATATCCAGTACATTTAATGCATGTTTTAAGTACGAATTTGGATTTTATTTCATTAAAATCAAAACAGAAAATTCCCTATCGAAGTTGCGTCTTATTTTGTGCTTCGTTTGGGGGCGATGTTCCTCAACGGAACCAGTTGTTTCGAAATGTCACCCAAATCGCAAGGAAGTATTAAAATTTGGCAGTCTAGTAGCTTCACGCCCCATATTGCCGCACTCCACGTACATTTAATCCATTTTCACTTTTTCACATTATCACAGACGTAATCTAAAACAAAAAGTAGACTAGATAAATAAAAACAATAAATTGAACTTTGTGCACCTTTATTACTATAATAATAATAAATACGCAACAACTAGATTATTAGAACAATTAGATTTGTTCTTGTTGTCATTTTTATATTAACTTTTTTAAATGTATCGCCTTGGTAGAAATCATTTGAAAAAAATAAAGTTGATACTCAACTAACAGTTACTATGACATTAAAAAAATGTTTAGCCACTTGTAGAAAACTGATTCAGAATAATGATTTTTAAATTGATATTTTTATGACAAATGCACACAATTGTGGAAGAAATTATAGAAAATTAAATCAGCCAAATTTTTTTACAGTTCAGTTTGGTCTAATTGGAATGTCGTCCATCCATGTTTCCTTAAGTGGGAACACACTTACCCGCTATGCGATGCTACCCGACGCCTTGTCTCGTTTTGGTAGGGTGTGCACATCTATGCGACGTCAAGCGCACGTCACGTAGTCACACAGCGTGTATCACAAATCATTATCACAATCGTAATGCCTCTCTTGTTCTTAATGCATTATTTTGAGCAAAACCATGTAATAAATTGTTAGTTAAATTTAATTGTTTTAAATAAAGTTATTCTGGTGTTTAGATAAATTTTCTGCCTAACCATCATAATTAAATAATTTTTATAAAAACTAATGAATTTTTAATCTCGTTTAATTTGGTTTATATTAAAGATGATATAATTAATACAACGACAAAATTGTATATTTTGAAATAAAAATATGAGTGTCCGGTTCTTTTGTCTTCGACTGTACTCGATGTTATACAACGAAAATCTGGCCAGTGGGGATCGCATAGCGTCGAGTAGGGTAGCGTTGCATATCATCGGGCAGATGTGCACGAGGGTAATACAATCTTATGGAAAAATGGCCTTTGGATTTGCGTCGGGTAGCATCATCGGGTAGCGTCTCATAGCGTTGCATCGGGTAAGTGTGTTCCCTGCTTTATTGTTGACTTAATAAAAAATAGTATTCACTATTCACCTAAAAATAGTATTCACCTACCTGTACAATGGGTTAAGTTTTAATAACCGGCTGTACCTGTCCATTTTATAAAAGTGTATCAAAAGATATGGGGCGTTGCAACAGGCTGGGTTTCACAGCAACCACCTCTGATGTATAATTACGCCTAAGTGTGATGTTTTTTGTAACCACAAATGATGACTGAACCGTTGTCAGTCTTCCATTTACAAAAAAGTTAGTTAGGCGTTTTTTCCCAATTTTATCAAAATCAGGATGAAAGTGATCTTCTTTATTCTCTTTTTAATTGGAGTGAATTACTCCGGGCCGTATGGCAGGCATTATTTTTCTTCTTTCTTAGTTATGCTTTGCCAAAATATTTGTATTTTGATCAGGTTGGCACAAAATGGAAGAATGGGAGCCGGCCGACACCACATCAGGTTTAAAACGAAGCCTGAGACGTGCTCAGCTTCAAGGTAATGTCGAGTCGCCTGAACCACGTAGTCCAATTCACTGCCTCGCCATGGGTTATATCGTGGAGGTGAATGTATAGGAAGGAGCAATTTTACATTGCAACAATTGATCAATGTTTGCAAAGTTTTTGAATAAATCTGTATTTTTCTAATTAGGTACTTTTATTTTACATGCCTATAACTATACTGTAAACTACTAAAGTGACTGTACCACTTAATCAAATCTATAAAAACATTTAAAAGTCACAATCTCATTTCCAATGTTACGTTTAAATTTTTAATTATCATTCGGAGATTGGAGATGCGGGTCTGGTGTGACGTAGTTTTAAGAAAAACATTTTCTTTATTGTGCCAACGTTTCGATCTTTATTGAGATCATCTTCAGGGCCTGGAATTTATAAACAAACATTGTTTGAATTTTGCAAATACATGTAGGATGTGGAAAAAAATTATGAATTTTACAATGCTAAAAAAAAATAGATTTGAAAAAAATTAATTTATACAATGTAGAAAATTTTAGATTAAAAAAAATGAATTTTACAATGCTAGAAAATTCGTTCTTTCTTTTTTAATCGAAAAAAATTTCTAGCATCGTATATTTTTTTTAATCTAAAATTTTTTAGCATTGTATAAATTCATAATACATAATTTTTTCCACATCCTACATGTATTTTTAATATTAAAACAATGTTTGTTTATAAATCCCGGCCCTGAAGATGATCTCAATAATGATCGAAACGTTGGCACGATAAAGAAAATGTTTTTCTGAAACCTACATCACATCAGATCGCATCTCACGATTTCTGAATAATTATCGATTAACGGTCACTAATCACCACACATTAAAATACATATTTTAGAATTCTTACCTAGTGAGAAAAGTTTTATTACTGGTATGTTCTACACTCTCTCTAACCTTCACTTTCTCTCCTAATCATTGAGATATTTAGTTTATAACACATGTAACATGATGTTTTTATAACCACAAATGATCACTGTCAGTCTGTTGTCAGTCTTACATGTACAAAAAAATTAGTGTTTTGAAAATTTAGTGAAAACAATATCGGATTTGGTAAATAATTAGAAGAATTAAAATTATGTAGGATTTCTTCAAAAGAGGTAGTTACATTACTAAAAAATGAATAAACAATTTAAAAAATGTTAATGTTGTTTGTCTTTGTTTATTAATAAATACAAATTGATAAACAGCTTGATACTGAGACTTATTCTCACTTGAGTAATGCAACTTTTTCTTACAAATAATATTTACTAAAACGGGATACCATTACATATTCTACATTTTTTCACTAATTTCATAGAGACTATTAAATCGATATGGTCGATATAGAAGTAACATAGTGTATTCTATATCGGTAATGTGTAGTAATTTAGTTTACTTAAAACAATAGGTTTGTAAGACAAAAGAACAGTATTGGATAAACACACTTTGTTGAGAAAAATAATTTAATGAATATTTACAATTATTGATTATTTGCGGCAATGGCAGACTGCCTTTTTGCATCGTCCTCCTCTGTTTCCTCTGGCAATGCAGTGAGCTGCACATGCTGCGTGGTTCGGCGTCACCCATTTGGACTGGAAGCTGAACAAATCGCAGGTCGCTCTTTTAAATCTGACGTGATGTTCGACGAGTGGCTGGGGGTCGGCGGGTTCCCAGATTTCCTCGTCGTGCAGGTCTGATTAAGAAGAAAATATTGGGTCAAAACATAATCGTAGACATACATAACAACAAGGGATATAATGCTTACCGTGTTCTTCCTGCCATGTGGGGACGGAGTAAGCCACGCCAATTAAGAAGAAGGTTAGAAAAATTGCTACGTTCATCGTGATGTTGATGCTGAAAGAGGCAAGGAACGAATGACTAACTTATCCAGTGTGCCAACTATTTATATTCATCGGGAGGTATCCTGTGAAACCCAGTCCGTCGGAACTCCCAATTTCTTTGGAATCGATTTTTCAAACAGGGCTTGTTCGGGTGGGTTTCACCTATTTCATCTGTACATCACAGTTAATAAAATTCATTATTTTTATCATCTCCAACGTTTTTATTACGAAAAACATCTAAACATCTAGATAATAGGTTCTTTAATAGTTTCTTTACAAAACGAAAGAGATTGTTTTGAAAAGTAACTGCAATAAAATTACAATTGCTTTCTGAAATAAAGTTTACATAATACAACATAATTAAATTTACCATTTTTTTCACAAAAATATTTTAAAATCGACTCGCTTACGATTAGTTAATCAAATTTCCAAAAGAAGAGTTCGGTTTTCATCTCCCTTATTCTAAATTCGAGAGATTTCATTTCTTCCTATCAGGTTTGCAAATTATTATTTATAGTCACAGAAAGTTCAATATCTCAGCAAGTATCCTTAAGAAAAAATCCTATCGATAGCCTATCTGACCTTCCACCCTCACAACTGTATACAAACACGAATACAAAGCTATTTAATTTTAAAGTTATTCGGTTTTACGTTGTTCGTCAATGATAAACTTGGTTTTTCATCTAACGTGAAAATTTATTCAAATATGTAATAATAAAGGTTAGATATAATATCATTATTACTATTACTAACTAATCCACATCTATTTCTAAAAGTAAAAAAATCTGTTTGCACGAGGATTTTTTCTTAAATTGTTTAGATTTAAACAATGATGTGGAGTTTCCTTTGACTCTCTCTACGTTGAATTTTATGCATAATTTTTCCATTTATATTGTACATATTTTGACTTTTAAGTGCACTGTAAAATATGGAGATTTTCTTCATTTTAAAACTGCAATTTTCTTTATCTAGTTTTTTTCTGTTTGTCAGAAACTTTTGAGGAGTTTCCGGGATGGCTTTTTGAAATGAATAAAACTCCCGAAAGATAAAATTTATCAGCCATTTTACTACAGAAAGAATACCCAATTCTGAAATTCTGATATATATATAATTTTTTTTTTGACACAGTACTAAAACATGGTTTAACTTCCTTCAGCAGTTTATATCTTTTTTTTCCAGTTATTGTTGAACTAATAATAATTTCATTAAAATAAAATTTGCAAATTTTGATTGTAATATTTTTTTTTTTTTTTTTTTTTTTTTTTAAACGAGGGTTCGCAACAGCCGAGGTTATACCAACCCTCGGGGAAAGCCCGTTTGTAAGCATGTCAGGTTCGAATGCAGGGCCGCTGGATTCGAACCCAGGACCTTTACCTTACGGTGATGAGCGCCGTGCCAACGCCGTTGCGGCCCCCTTTTAATATTATAATTATATATGTTTGATAAAATGTTGTGGAGTATAAACCTTTTCAACTCCATGTAGTACGTAAAATGTATGAACTAATTTTGACGGCTTGTGAAATGAAACGTTTTTTTTTTTTTTTTTTTTTTTCGAGCGGTTTCACACAAAATAAAAATATGTAACAAGAACAAGATAGAGAAAGTTATCAGAATTGTAATAAAACTATTGAAGTTGTGTAGTTCTTAAGAAAAATGTTTCTAGAGATTAACAAAACGCAACTTTACAGGAGAGTCGCTTTGAAAAAGAAACGCTTTTTTTAGAGTTCAAATCGTGACATTTTGCTTAAAAGAGGTGACTTATTTTTGAGCTTTCATGTCCGTTATCTCAAAGAAAGATGTATAAATAAATATGTCTAGACACAATGAAGCATAGTTTACATTCTCAGCCCTACACTTGAAGGCTATTACTAGATGCATTTTTGTTTCATAATTTGCCCGTAACTTCATTTTTTTTCTTCAAATTATATATATTCTCTTTGATTCAAATAAATAAATAAATTATATATATATATATAATATTATATAAACATAAAATAGCAATATCTCACTGGCACTCTCAACACGACACGCAAGAATGGCACAATTACACAGAAGACAAACACTTTGAGTGAGTAGAAATACTTTGATTGCATATAAAAAATATATTTTTTTGCATTGTATAAATCCACTTTTGCCCACATCCTACATGTATTTGTTAAATTTAAACATGTTTGTAAATCCCAGGCCCTGAAGATGATCTCAATAAAGATCGAAACGTTGGCACGATAAAGAAAATATTTTTCTGAAAACTACATCACACCAGACCGCATCTCACGATTTCTGAATAATTATCGACTAACGGTCACTAATCACCATACATATAAACTAAAATGAAAAACACTTAATATTAACCCAAGACCCTGTTACAGAATAGGAAAAATAACTTCAAAGAAAATAGATTTATTTGTGCCCACTTATTTTTTTGATATCTCTACCCACTAAATACAATAGCGACAGGTTTTCTTTTATGAAACATTTTGATAAATAAGATTTTTGAGACCCAACCCTCATAATACATATACAAATGACCAGAAAGAGTTGCAAAATGTTGTAAACCAAAAGAAATTCATTTGTCGTGGGGGTTCCCCTTAATTGTTAAAAACAGTCAAACAAATAAATGCCATAATCAAAGAAGTCGAATCGAAAAAACGCAGACCACAGGGGTAAAACTGTCGACAAAAAATAGAAACTCTTATCGATCAATATATTTAATGATTACTTGGAGATCGTGAGATGCGGTCTGGTGTGTCGAGGTTTAAGAAAAACATTTTCTTTATCGTTCCAGCGTTTCGATCTTTATTGAGATCATCTTCAGGGCCTGGGATTTATAAACATTGTTTAAATTGTACAAATATATGTAAGATGTGAAAAAAATGAATTTATACAATGCTAGAAAATTTTAGAATGAAAAAAAAATGAATTTATACAGTGCTAGAAAATTGTAGATTAAAAAAAATTATACAATGTTGGAAAATTCTTTTTTTATCTAAAATTGTCTAGCATTTTATAAATTCATTTTTTTAATCTAAAATTTTCTAGCATTGAATAATATTTTTTCAATCTAAAATTTTCTAGCATTGTATAAATTTATTTTTTTCACTACATGCATTTGTAAAATTTAAACAATGTTTATAAATCCCAGGCCCTGAAGATGATCTCAATAAAGATCGAAACGTTGGCACGATAAAGAAAATGTTTTTAAAATATTAAAACTTCCATCAAACCATATCACACCATACCGCCTCTCCAAATAATCATTGGCTAACGGTCACTAAATACCACACAATATATTTAATGCCGTTTTTAGGTTTTAAACCTTACTCATAATTACAATTGAGTAACTTTTGTCGATGTCGTATAACAGATTTTTTTCTTTTCTTCAGTTTTCCCAGACGCCTTCTTATTGGACTTTTTCTATTTGAAAACGTAAGAACGGCTTGCTTTTGAAAAGTGAATCACGGAAAGTAAGTTAGGATTAAGTCTTTCAATAGGAACGGAATAGAATGTCTTTAGTTAGAAATGTCCATTCAATGTGAACAAAAAATGGTTGCCTAACTCAAAAGTGAACTGGCAACGAATTCTGTTACTGTTGCGACATGCTGCGTTTCTTTTATTTCATTTCGGTTAACTTTTATGTCAGAAATTGCTCGGTCCTTACGAAATAATTCAGTCTGCTTTGCTGGTCACGACCAAACGACAGGTTTAACCACCTTCAGACCACATCGTGAAATCTAATAATTTATTTCCAAAATATGTTTTATAACAAAATTTGCTGCTATGACTTACTGGATTTTGTAGGTATTTACAAGAATAACACACGTTCTTTTAATAAAGGTTAAATTGTCTTGACACTTAAGGGGCCATTTACACTGCCGGCGATGCTATATCGCGCGAGTAGAACATTAAATCGCAAAGAAGGAGCTGCGCATTCTGCATTTTGTGTTTCGTGCGATCTGGACGAGCTATTTTAATCTTTTCTCTGCAAAATTGAGGCTCAAACATGATTTTAAAAAGAATCCTGATCCCAACATTCTCAACGTCTCTCTATACGATTTTGAAGAAATAAATACTGACATGAACGTCCCAATTGTGTCAGATAAGTCAGTAGGTTTAGGCGAGATTTTCATTGCTAAGCCTTTGCTTGCCTTTGCCTTAGAGTGTCGTTCCTCCAAATATTTGAACATGTTCCATTCGACTATTAATCCTAGAAGTTTAAAATTTTACAGATGGATGCCTGGTCCTGAGGGTATTTTGAAAAATATGGGCAAATTTCGCATCGTACGTGGTATAAATTCTCAATTGAATTGCATCATAGCTGATGTTAACGCCATGTAACTGTGCTAATAAGAAACAAATGAAGATACTAAGCTTTATTACGAATTGATATTTCCTCTATTACCTTTTTCAAAAGAATAATCATTTACATATTTACTTCAAAATTATTTTTTATATAATCATTTCCTATAAATACGTATTTGTTCATTGGCGGCTACAAACGAGATAAGAGATGCTGCTGGAATCGAGATGCTTCTCCTTAGCCAAAATATTTACGTAAAAAAAAGAGAGAGAGAGACTGACAGACAGACAAAGAGAGAGAGAATGTGATTCCACTTCTCAAATCAAATTTTTCTTACTTTAAAAGTAATTTATTTTTATTTTTATTTAACACTATATATTATATACACTATTTATTTTATATACACGTAATGAGGGAGAGACTTTTAACTGTGGATATAGAAGCAGCGTAGTGTGTTCTATACTGTATTTTATATCACAAAGAAAGAGGTTTTAGGAAAAAGAAAATAGTATTGGACAAACACAGCTTTATTGGGGAAAACGTAATGGATATTTAAAATTGTTAATTATTTGCGGCAATGGCAGACTGCGTTTTTGCATCGTCCTCCTCTGTTTCCTCTGGCAATGCAGTGAGCTGCACATGCTGCGTGGTTCGGCGTCACCCATTTGGACTGGAAGCTGAACAAATCGCAGGTCGCTCTTTTAAATCTGACGTGATGTTCGACGAGTGGCTGGGGGTCGGCGGGTTCCCAGATTTCTTCGTCGAGCAGTTCTGATTAGAAGAAAATATTTGGTCAAAACATAATCACAGAAATACAGGAAACAGCAGAAATAATGCTTACCGTGTTCTTCGTGCCACGTGGGGACGGAGTAAGCCGCGCCAATTAAGAAGAAGATTAAAAAAATTGCTACTTTCATCCTTATGTCGATGCTGAAATCGGCAAAGAACTAATGACTTACTCATCCAATGAGCCAATTATTTATATTTCTAGAAAGATATTATATGAAAACCATTCCGTAGGAATTCCCCATTTCTTTTGCATCGGTATCAACTGCAGGTCACAGTTAATAGAATTAATTATTTTTATCATCTTAACCTTTCAATCAATTAACAGTATATCGGCAATGAGTTTTTATATAGTTTTTTTTGTTCCTGCTATAAGACATTTCGAAACAAGCAAAGATCTAGATAATAGGTTATTTAATCGTTTCTTTAAATTGTAGAGATTATTTCTAAAAGTTATTGGTGGGTCCTTTAAGGAATGAGTATATTCCGTCTTTTAAGGTTCGATTAACCCCCTTGAGGCCGGTGATCTGCCTCAATATCAAAGGAATTTTGATTTAAAATAAAATACGAACACAATTGCAGAGGGACACCTCTATTTTGTTTCTTTTAAAACAAAAATGTATTTCCTTATGAATCAAAAACGTTATATAAAAAATATAAAACAACAAAACATGAACCTTTGCTTACAAATGAACAATATAAGAATAATTAGATACTATGGGAATAATATGGGCCTGAAAGGCAACCTTGATAACCAAAATGGAAAATACCAAACAAAAACCATAAATGAAAATGGGCCACACAACAGAAATAATTTATACTAATAAAAATCAAATGGATACAAATCTGATTTGACTAGCTTTCAGCTGGATTTTTTCTTATTGTTTTTCTTCCAATGCCTAGGCTAGACTGAACTATCCGTTCTCGCTTTCCTGCCTCTAGCATGGAGGGGAGAGCCTGGACATAATTTGTTGTTATAAAGTATTTCGAAATTAAATAAATAATCAACTTGCATTTATACTTTAAATCTCGTATATGATTAAATTTGTAGTTTTTTCTTATTCCCTTATTCAAAATTCGTGTTATTTCATTAACTGTTAGTCACAGTAGATTAAATATTCCTGAGGATAAGGCTAAAAAAATCCTATCTATAGGCCCTTCTGAATTTCCACTCTCACAATTATACACAAACACGTAGTAAACATTTATATACAAGTTATTCGGTGTTAGTTGTGGTTTGTCAACGATGAAAAACCGTACCTTATTGCATTTTTATGTCAAAATCTTTAAATATTTAATTATATTATATTATTATCACTATGTAATACACATTTAGTTTTGAAAATCAAGATATTATGTTTACATCTGGATTTTTTATTGAATTTTAAATAATTATGTAGCAGTTCCGATGAATCAATTTATAAAATATAATAAATAAATATAATAATATATAAACAAAACACAAAAAACATTAAAACACTGTTGAGAACGAAAGAACTTTATTGCGAGAGCACATGTACAAGACTAGACTAGACAGACGGTCGCGCCGCCTATCGATACGTACAACAGACTAATCGATCAATGAGTGTTCGGCGGCTGCTTCAAAACCCCCCCCTCGAAGACATCCATGCCCATCCTTGCTATACACGTGGTGTGCTTGTGCTTTATGAGTGGCTTCGTTAAGACGTCCGCCGGCATCTCTTGGGTTGATAGGTATTTCAATTATGACTTTTCTCCAGAGTGAGTTGTTAAGAGCCTCGTTGATAGAGGGTCCAATGAAGTTCGCACTGTCTCCAGTCGGTATGTCGTTTTTTGTTGTTTCTTCTTCCGTGGTATTCGCCGACCGATTGTCCTCGAAGTGCTTGTAGATCTTTTTGGGTCTTCCTCTCTTTGTACGTTGTATGCTGGGTTTTCCGCGCCCTTTCTTCTGTGCTTGTTCTTCTTTTCTTCGTTCTTCTCCAACTTCTTCACTTCAATCTTCATCTTCTTCTTCACCTTCTTGGACTTCTTCACTTCCCTCTTCATCTTCTTCTTCACCTTCTTGACGACATCCTTGATCTTTCTCTCTTCCAAAAATTCAGTTTGGTCTTCCTTGATGTACAGGACGATCTTGGTACCCCGGCCAAGGGGTTCACCAGGGTCGGGCCTGACCGTGAAAGAACCAACAGCAGAAGATTCCCACAAATACTGTTCATCGTCAATGTGTTTCGAGCTGACTGTCACCTTGTCAGCAACTAAGTAAGCCGAGTAGAAACCAACACCAAACTGACCAATCATAGAAATATCAGCTCCAGCCTGAAGTGCCTCCATGAAAGCTTTTGTTCCTGACTTGGCAATCGTTCCTAAGTTGTTTACAAGATCAGCCTTGGTCATACCAATACCAGTGTCAATAACAGTCAATGTCCTGTCTTCCTTGTTCGGAATAATCTTAATGTAAAGCTCCGTTCCGGATTGAAGCCTGGTCGGATCTGTAAGAGACTCGTAGCGGATCTTGTCCAAGGTATCTGAAGAATTGGAGATCAACTCTCTTAAAAATATCTCCTTGTTGGAATAAAACGTATTGATGGTCAGACATCAACTGGGCGATCTCCGCCTGGAATGCGAAGGTCTCGGTCTCACCCATTTCAACGTCTTCCGGCATGTTTTCAAGTTTAAGTAGATCAAGTTGAAAAGAAGATTAAGTTTTAGTGCAAATCGCATGTTAACAGCTCGGGTTTCTAAACAAATCTAAACGAAAATAAAATAGTAAATACAGAGTAAATATAGAAAATTTAAAGCAATTTGAAAACTAACTCTTAACAACGTGATTATGTACTTATTCACTTATTACATAGTTCAAACGGGAGCGCATCCCAAAAATAAAAGTCAGAATATAATAACAGTGATGATAATATTTGGTGAAAACAATGTATAAAAAATAATCAAACATAATAACAGTCGAAAACACACATGTAAATAGAAAAGAGGGAAATCAAAAAATAAAATTTACATCAATTCATCATGCCAATTAGTAATTAGATTTAAGTTGGTTTTGCCCTGATATGTCTTTAAAATAGGTGTAGATGTATTGTACTGTTATATTATTTTATAAGTGTCATGTAAAATATGGAGATTTTTCTTCATTTTAGAAGTGTCATTTTCTTTATGTAATTTTTTTATTCTCCAAAACAATAACGTGCAATAGACCGATTAAAGTGATCAAAGTTTTTAGTTGAAAATTAAAATTTTCTAACGTGTAAAATGTGGGGAAGAAATTGTAACGTTAGAGGGTTGCCCCCTCGTATAGTCGCAAGTTTTCGAAGTTCGATTGCTTTTTTGAAATGGACCCTGATGTTATGCTGCTGAAGGTGTACGGGCATTATCGTACATTAATTACAATAGGATTGTCGCTGATATCATCGAGGATAGGCATCTCATGATGTTCCAAAATGTCATCCACATAGCGAGTGGCCGTCAAAGACACTCCAAGGGCAAAACCAACTCTGTGCGACTCTTTATTGAAATTCCCGCCCCCATCATCACTGACCTGCGTTGAAAAGGTTGGCTCCGTGAAAAATTACAGGCTTCGTACCTTTCAGTTCGCCTTCACCACACACTCTTTCACGTCCATCTGGAAATCGTAGAGCAAATCTACACTTTTCTGTAAAAAGTACAGCAGACCAATCGTCCAAAGACCAATGGCTGTTTTCTCGAGCAAATGCGAGCCGTGCAACTCAACGTGTTCTGGTCAATTCTGGTCCTCTTACGGGTCGAAAAGCTGTCAGTCCATACTGATTTAAACTTCTTCGAGCAGTGCGTTCAGAAATTTGGACACCTCGAACTTCCTGAGCTGATGAATCGCGAGAACAACATTAAGGGCCGGTTTCGCAAAATTCTCAAAGTCAAAAAACGGTCATCCTGTGGTTCTGTTACATAAAGGCGTCCAGAACCGGGCCTTCTATGGTAGGACCCAATTTCTCGAAAATGTCTAACAGCTTCTCATCGAGTTTCGGAGGGAACTCCAATGGCAATAGCCGCATACGTGATGGAACGTCCATCATCAATAAGTGCCACACCACGCCCAACATCCTCAGCACTAGTGGCGTTTTTAAGTTTAAAAATTTAAATTAAGAAAACAAAGATGAAAATTAAACATATTATTTCAATTTCTTCAAATGGGACTGAATAAATATTTTAAATTCCTTAAAAAGTAAACATTGAAAAATTCTTTATCCTTGTTTTGGATTAAGGATTAAGTGTGTTTACCTCTACTTGATATTCACATATTGTAAACAAACATTTATTGGTAAAAACAATGTAAAAGAATTAAGAATTTTCTTGTATCGATAAAATGAAATAAAAATCCTTTGCCTGTCAATGTATTTTAAGGTCATCATCAGGGCCTATGTTAATTTCACTTTATGAAAAACATTTTTTAACACTGGGCACTCTCAACACGACAGACAAGAATGGCACATATACACGGTAAACAAATACTTTGAGCCCTGAAGATGACTCAATAAAGATTGAAACGTGCACAATAAAGAAAATGTTTTTCTAAAACCTACGTCACACAAGACCGCATCTCACGACCTCCAAATAATCATTTTTTTACAATTGATTTAGCAATCAGCAACAACTGATTTAGCAATGTACAAAACAACCGTAAATATGTCAGATTGATATATTTAAGTTTTTTTTACAGGCGATCTCAAATTTCCTTGAAGACCGATTCAGTCCCCACATTGCCACGGAGTAAAAAAGTATTGCAACCTTATCCCGGAGGTCCTCCTCTTGTTATCAAAAGACATCATAAATTGAACTTAAGCCCATAGAATATGTTTGGATGTTACAATTATTATTTTACATTTTGGCATGTAGAACGTCTTTTATTCTTCTTCTGAGTAATTGAGATTCTTTGTCAATTATTTCAATATTCGAAAAAGTCAAATTTGTACCTACTGAATTTGATTGTCCGGTACCAGTTCTGGATTTAATACCATAGTCAGAAACATGACCATAAATTCTATTTGCATTCTCTGTTTTGCTTGATCATTGTATTTGACTGCTATTCCAGAACCTACATACATCATTTGAGAAATTTAACTTGTCTTCCTTATCCTTGAGTTTAGTATGTGAAAAGCTCATTTTATTCTTGTATTTGTAACAACAGTTGATGTCGGGTATGAATTTCTTTATCAAATATTTTAATTTGGGAGAAATCACTGGGACGTACGTAATACTCTTGAAGGTAAAAGAATTTTTTTACATGTCGTTCATTTTTTACCATTAATTAACTTAGTTGAATTAATATCTAACCATCTATTAACAAATGTCTTTGGGTAGTTCTTATTTCTTTAAATTCGGAAAATTCGCTCTTTAACTTCACTCCAGAAGCATATGCTGCTTAGTGCCAAAACTCTGAGTATCAAATTATTAGCACACTTCAGTTTTTGAACAAAAGAGTAAAAAGAGAAATATTGAAATATTTGATGTCTTTTGTAAACTATGCATCAATATGCTAGCTGCACTTCTGAAATTAATGGCCCTGATGATGATATTAAAATAGGTCGAAAGCTTGGCAGTAGCAACTAAATTTGCTTTCTTCTTCAAAAGCATACTTCCAGAGTGTTCGTTAGTGAATAATTAGTCGGTACTTNTACCGTGTTCTTCCTGCCATGTGGGGACGGAGTAAGCCACGCCAATTAAGAAGAGAGTTAATAAAATCGCTGCTTTCATTCTGATGTTGATGCTGAAATCGCCAAGCAACTAGTGACTGTATGTATCATTTAGGCAAGTATTTATATTCCAAAGCCAGTTCCTGTGAAAGCCAGCCTGTCAAAACAACCGATTATTTTATTAATCGATTTGATGAACTGGTCTTGTACAACTGGGTTTCACACAACCTATTGTTATCTGTGCATCATAGGTAATATAATTTCCTCGAAATATTTACAGTAAATTGTCTACAGATTTTAATCTACTTGTTTAAACTTCACACCATCTCCTAGTTTGTTTTGATATGTTAAAGAATTGGTTAATTCGGAATTATAAAGGGTTAATTTGAAGTTACAACACAGTTAATTTGAAATTAAAAAGGTTTCACTTGAAGGAGAAGATACAATTAATAATGGTTAATTGGAGGTTGAGGTCAAAAAGAGCTCATTTGAAATTAAAAACATTAGTTTGAAGTTATCAAGTCAAGCTAAAGTGGGTTAATTTAAAAACAAGGGTTCACGTAAAGCTAAAAAGGCTTAATTTTCCAAGAAATATTGTTCATTAAACTGGAAAAGCAATATTTATATATATTATATTGTAAAATTATTTAAACTGCTGACTTGAAAGGAATTCGGTCTTCTAAACATATCCATTATCATATCCACACAAATTCATGTACACAGTGCACATTTATAATAGAAAAAAAAAAGGCCTCCACTGTAAAACGACAAAGAGTGACTGACTTCTACTGCAGTCAGGTACGTAGGGCTGGCTATACGTACTGCATCTGACTTGTATACAAGATAAAAGAGAAATTGACAGGAGATATTTTCAACTACGAAGACTTGTTAAGGCGAATTCTGATTAACCGTCAAAATTTAGCTTCTGAAATATTGAAATCGCAAGTGGAAAACTTTCTCCCGTCAGGAACGGGTCAAAGAAGGACATGTCCAGCTTTATGTCCAGATCGTCATGAGCACAGCATATTGTGAAAGACAAGAATAATGCAAAGAGCTCAACTGTAGATAATAAATTATGAGCCTTTGTTATAATAACAATATGAGAGAGAAAGAAAGAGGGAGAGAGATGATGATGCAATAGTAGGGGTATTCACGATCTTTGTGTTAACCCTGTTAACTCTGTTAGGTCGTGTTAGATCGAGAAAAATGATGATGTATTCTTGTGAGAATCGGCTAGTTAACATTCCTCGATCTAACAGGCTAGGGCCAATGTTAGATGTAAGGTCGAAAATGTAGTCACATTGCTATCCGTCAGGGCCGAGGTAACCAACATGGCAGACATGAATTTAACAGCTGTTAAATACACATTACTTATATCCTTATACTCTCATTCATAATAGATTCATCCTATAAAGTTGTAGGTGTGAGACGTTAGAATACAAGTTAGGTAGATGTAGATATAGGTTTGGGGTATAGTATACTGCGCCCTTTAATTGCTATTGTATCCCCATGCTCTGCCTAAAGCACATCGGTGAGCCCTATTTCATCAAGAAACTTGATTAATAGGCCCATGGTTGAAGCTCTTCTATGGTCACATTATACATCCCAAAACATTTCCTCCTGCGGGCTAGTGTAGCTCCGCAGTTTGTTAGTAAATGTATTGGTTTCTTTTCTGCCTCTTTGAAGAATCTGCATGTGCCATCTTGGATTACTCCAATTTTCTTTAAGTGTCCATTTAACTTGCAGTGCCCTATTAGGATTCGCAGTTTGTTCCTCCTTCCCTTGATACATTCTGTAATTTCTTTCCTTCCAAAATTGGTTAGAAGATTCTTGGATTGTCTGTGTCCAATGAGTGAATTCCAAAGTTCCCTCATTTTCTTTTTGTCCTTCTGTCTGAGATAATCGTCAATAGTGTGGATTCCTATGCCAGAAGAGGGTTCAGGTCCTATCAGCGGTGTAGCAGCCCCTTTTCTTGCAAGGGTGTCCGCTTTCCCGTTGCCTTCTGCTCCCATGTGTCCTGAGGCCCAGCATAGGCTGACTTTATTCTGCGTACCTAGTATGTTTAGTTTGATTTTGTAGTTCAGCACCATCCTTGAACTAATGATTTTTGAGCTTAGTGCTTTGATGGCTCCTTGGCTATCTGACATGATTACAAGTTAGGTATGTCGGCACGAATTGAAGCGTGTCTTTTGTTAGTACTTTTCGAGTGCGCATATAGCATTTTGAATGAAAAAGTTGAATAATTTTCTTTTTTTATTAGCTTCTGGCATCTTAAAATTTAACACAATACGAAACCTTAACAAACAACAACAAGCGTTTAAGGACAGTTATAGCTTTATTTTTTTGGTTGTACCAATCGTCACGCGCAGCATTGCGGAAAAATTAACGTTTAACATTCTAAGAAAAGAAGGGGGTATTCACAGTCTTACTGGACATTTCTTTATTCGAGTTAACACGAGTTGACATCTTACAAACAACGTGAATACCCCTAGTGTGAAAAGGCAATTCGTTAAAAATCCTTCTGTCAAAAGTTGTCGAATCATAAAAATAAAAACAATCTTTGCCATTTATTCACTAATTTTAATTATGAACATACAGAATTCCTAACTATTGAACTATATAACAGCGATAGTTCTAACATTGTATAAGCTGTATTAATTCCCTTCAATCAGAACCTTTCAAATAATTTAATAACGTTTCCCTTGTGTAATTCTGTGTTACTACGCCAAATGGAGCCGGCGAATTTAATCTAAAATTGTACGCTCTGTTACTAAATGAACAAGCTTTCAACGCCTAGTTACCTTGCTGAAAATTAAATAACGTAAATCGTGGGATATCATTATTCAATGTCCCTTGTATGAGGTTATTAGCGAATTGATTAAACTGCAATAATACATGTCATCCTGGAGTTGTCCGATAAAGGGAATGGTTCATAAGTTTACTAAGTTATTAGAAAACCCTTGTTCATAAATTTAGTATTATTTAGTATTAAAATACACTATCAAAATAAAATGTATTATTAAATAAGTTGATTATTTTACTCTTTTCTTTATTAAATCTAAAATTGCTTAAATAAGTTAAATCACTACGTTAGTTATTGTACTATAATTTTAATGTATTGCGTAGTGTGTTTTGTGGTATATACATACAAGTATGAGATATGTTATAAAAAGAAATATGTGGTGTTCAACATCATTAGTACGGGGACGTGGTTGGTGTGGGCGGGACGGGAGACGGGATATCCCTGAGCATGTTTAGCTCCGGAGGTGCGGGAGACGTGGTCTTTTTCATGCTATCTCGATGTGAATGGTTCGAATCCACGTCTCCAGAAAGTACTCCGTACGTGAAGGAAGAAAAAGCACGTTCACGAAATGTATGGAACTAAGCCCGACTCTCTTCCTGTCCGTTCCGATTGGGTCTACGACTCACTGACGGCGCTTGTCATCCCTGTCTGCATCTCCTCTGAAGAAGAAAAAGAAAAATAAATTAGTAACTTCTGAGGGAGGAGGTTTACATTGGAGCATTGTTTCCCAACGTTGGGCCAACGCGGGGGTACGGGGGCAATTAAAGTTTTAAGGTGGGCAATTTTGAAAATGACTCGTTTAGATTTTTAGTCAACTTTGTGCCTATTCGCATTTGCCATTTAGTTGAAAATTCATCGAACAAAGCAGCTAAATAGCTAAATTTATTTGTCGGGTCTCTATTCAGATTCTTGAGAATTTCGTACCATTTTTCAATATCCCGTAATAATTATTGTTCTTATCTTATGTTCACGACGTTAAACGACGTTCCCTAATCCTCCCTAACCTTAACCTCATCGCTTCAGTAATTTAAATTGTTGTTCGTTAAAATCTTTGTAAAGTCTTGCTTTTTCATAATTAGTATATTTAATTAGAGCAGCGGTGTATTTAGCCGAAGGTCGTGGGTTCGAATCCCGCTCGTGACACTGAATTTTTTATCTCAACCAAAACCTTACATAAAAAGAATAATTAATTGAAAGAAGTAACTTGGTCAACCACTAAAACATAAATGGATTAATATTTAATAAGTAAAAGAAGTATATCTTCACTAAAGCTCTCCGTGGCCATTTCATTTGTCGCCGAGAATCAAATAGATTACACGACATTTGAAAAATGGAAAAAAGGAGGGAAAATTCAAAAGGTGGGGTTGAGATGGGAAGTTAGTGTCCGAGTGGATGGAGGTCACGATAGTTCATGTGGTAGAGCAGCGGCGTATCTAGCCGAAGGTCGTGGGTTCGAATCCCACTCGTAACACTGAATTTTTTATCTTAACCAAAACCTTACATAAAAAGAATAATTAATTGAAATTAATATTTATATGCAGATAGATACGAACTATTCGCGTTTTTATGAACAGGAAAAAATGTAAAACTAAAATTTCAATAAATCTAAATAACGGCATACAATTAATTTTATAGGCAAATTTCAACCTATGGGAGTTTCTTCTCTATTCGAGAAAATAAGGTTTTATCAGATCTATGAATTTCACTGAAATTTACTACTTTTTACTTTAGCTGGATATTAATTAATGTCTGACAATGCAACTGTTAAAGTGCGAAAAGTCAACCATTTTGCGACGAAGTATAATGTGGATCTGCCAGATGCCCTTTTTAAAAGTACTTTAAAATTATACAAGATGAGTTCCAGATCAAGTAATTTATTAACTCTCATATTCGTTGCAACGTCCTAGACGTCGGGGTTTTTAAAAATTTTCTTACTGTATTTTATCAATTATCCTGTAGTGATTTTCCCAATCATTTTTAACTTTATTCAGTGAGTATTTTAATATTATAGTTATGTACGGTTGTATTAATGGGTGGGGCAGAAGGAATTTGAAAATGTCTTCTTTAAGAAATATACATTACAATATACTGACAGAATTTAACTTATTCTGTGGTATATTTATCAAGTTTTTAATACCTTGCATACTTTTAAAATTTTCTTTGTACATACATAGTAACAAATCCAATTAAAAGTTTATGTGAATTTCAATGATTCTCATTCTCCCTGATTAAATTTACATAATCAGGTTTCTGAAATCACTTTAATTTATATTTATTACAAGCACATTCCCACGACAATCCCGTCAACCCTTCAAGTACGTAAATTGTATGGGCTTTTCAACGAATCTCAATTAATTCACCGATCGGCCTTTGTAATATGTCGCGTCTAGCTGTAATGAAATGCAATACTACTGATGTCGACGAAGGGTGTAACATGTTTCAAAAGTCCATCGAGGAATTTAAACAAGCGGATCTATCTCTCCTTGTGAGAGATGGAATGCGGCTGCGTAACAGGGCGCTGTGTCAAAGTCAAAACGTCCCAAATTTTAAACAATCCTCCAACGTGTTACATCTTAATATTTCAATTTCAGTATATTATCTATTAATCAATTTTTATGCAAAGTTATTCAGAAATCGTGAGATGCGGTTTGGTGTGATGTAGGTTTCAGAAAAACATTTTCTTTGTCGTGCCAACGTTTCGATCTTTATTGAGATCATCTTCAGGGCTCAAAGTGTTCAGGGCGCTCTCAACACGACACGCAAGAATGGCACAATTACACAGAAGACAAGCACTTTGAGCCCTGAAGATGATCTCAATAAAGATGGAAACATTGGCACGATAAAGAAAATGTTTTTCTGAAACCTACATCACACCAGACCGCATCTCACGATTTCTGAATAATTATCGATTAACGGTCACTTCACCACACATTTATGTAAAGTATTGGCTGAGATAAAAAAGCCAGTGTCACGAGCGGAATTCGAACCCACGACCTTCGGCTAATAAGCGGCTGCTCTTCCACAAAAAGGAGGGAAAATTAGAAAGGTGGGGTTGAGATGGGAAGTTGTGTCCGAGTGGATCGAGGTCAAGTGGTACAGCAGCGGCGTATTTAGCCGAAGGTCGTGGGTTCGAATCCCGCTCGTGACACTGGATTTTTATCTCAACCGAAACCTTACAGAAAGATTAATTAATTGAAAGACGTTATTTGCTTAATCGGACCACGAAAATCTAACGGATTATTATCTATATTTTATAAATACTGCATTATAAGTAATAGGTCTTTTTACATATCAGAAATTACATTTCGTGTTTTACTCTTTTAAAAAAATCCTTCAGGACGTAAAATATTCAAGATAATATATGTGTTTGTAGGTGAATTACGCCTATATCGATTACTATGCCCAGGTATGTGTTAAAAAACATTAAACCAATTTTGAAAAAATGTATTTATAGGTTTCAATATTTTATCACGCTTGATGCATTATTAAAAATTATTTTAAGTTGTTCTTCAAGCAATACAATATATGAGGATTTTTGTGTGCTTTTGATTCAAGTTCGAAGGCTTTTCCACCAGGTTTATTCGTTTCAATTCTGTTGATGAGCACCCTTGAATCAACGAGATTGCCTTCGTCATTGAATTATATTTTTATTTGGAGGCATTTATAAAGTTGAAAGAGTCAGTTACGGTGGGGCCGTCTTCAATAAAACACCACGGTTAACCCAATAAAACAATTTTGGCGTTAATTGAATCTGTCGGAAAAGGGAATAAACCGGAAAAACAGCACGTGGGAAATTGAGAAAAGTTTTAAAAAGTGAATTTTATTTTATTTTTATTAGAAAGACTCCTCACCAAGTGGAAAGATGAAATATCTTTTTACCGATGTCCAAAGTCATCCGTGAATTAACAGAATCGTTATTTTAGCTTTATGTTACTTTAAACGACATGACAAAATAATAAACATTGATACAATGTTTATAAATATAATAAATAGTTTTTAGGCAGTGTTTTTATCTGTAATAAACTTTGAATTTTTTAAAGGATGTCCTGCGAACAGTGGTCAGTACCTCAGGGGGTTATCCTACATGTCAAATTTGACTTAAAAGCCTCTATTTGCCGGAAGCCTGATTCGCAGCTGTCTTCGGGATATTTCACTTTTCGTTTTATTTCAACTTTCAACTTTTTTATCTACAGCCTCCGTTTAGTAGCTAGCCCCTAATAATGTCATCTTCTTGCAAATTTGATTACATCAATGGAACGTGCATTTAAAATTCTGACATTCAATTTTTTAAATTGTAACATTAAGCAAATAAACACAAAATCACTTTACAGAAAATTTGGACTTACTCTATGCGCTGTGAACAAATCTATTCAATTTCACAAAGGCCAGTTATAGTCAATGAACAATGTACGTTTCATTGCTAAAAATTTGATTTGTCGATAACAAATAGTCCAAAAAATTATCCATTAAGATTTTAAAATTTCTAACCTAAAAAAAGAAAATAATTCAAAGAACAAAACTGTCTCTTTTGTACAAAATGGAAAATAAGAGAAAATAATAATCATCTAATAATTAAATTGGAGAGGAATAGAAGGCTGACAGCTTTTCCTGGCAGACTTTGCTCCTCTTAAGAGTTTATCCTGCTTCTCTTCTATCGTAACAGCACAGGATTTCCGAATCCTTTCATGGAGGTCGTCAACAGATGTGACAAAAGCATAATTGACTTCGTTTTTAGCCATACCCATATAGCAAAAAGTCCATCCGGGTTTAAAAAAATATTTTTTTAGCAATTAAACGCCAATTTTACACTGGCGATAACCCACCTTTGAGAAATGAAGTGAGTGTTTAATGACCGTTACTAGGACAACATTTCCGTAGCATTTACATAGCTAAGAAAATCTTATCAAAATTTAGACAATAAATCTGAAAACTCGTACAAGTTCATCTTCTAAGTGATTTTGTTTGTATTTTGTTTGTTTAACGTTACAAAAAAATTGAAGATCATAGAATTTTGAATGCTCTTTCCATTGATGTAATCAAATTTGTAGTAGGATTACTTTTTTATAATATATGGTGGCTTTTTGTAAAAAAGACATTGAAGTTACGTTGTATTTTTGTATTACCTTTTGTTTGTATTAACTTTTTAAAGTAGTTTTAGAGAGGTGGTCCTCTGTGGTGTGTTGAGTTGAGTCTCAACAAACTTAGATTAGGTTCTTTTTTGTAATAAAATGAGGGTGCAGTTGTTTAAGTAAAAGTTTAAGCAAGGAACACTTAGTCACGTGTGGAAGGGTTAAATATTAAAGGCAGCAAAGTATCCAACACGTCCTATCCAGAAGTATAATATTTGTCAACCATACAACTGTTAAAGTGAGAAAAGCCAACTATTTTGCGACGAAGTATAATTTGGATCTACCAGATGCCCTTTTGATAAGTACTTTGGATTGTGTCGGGTTTAGCATCCACCAACGACCGCTATTTTTTTTTTTTTTTTTTTTTTAATATTGATTCTTACTGATGCGATCTTATCATGTTTGATCGCTATCTCTTTATATTGGTGGTTAAAGGAGTATAACTTGTTTTGAGAATTGATGAACATCACAAGATTAGTTCCAGTTCAAACAATTTATTAATTCTTCCAATTACTTAATCTTTTTATGTAAAGTCTTGGTTGAGATAAAAAAAAAGTCAGTGTCAAGAGCGGGATTCGAACCAACGACCTTCAGCTCAATATGACGCTGTTCTTACCACTTGAGCTATCGCGACTGATCCACTCGGACATCAACTCCCATCTCAACCTACAACCTTTCAAATTTTCCCTCTTTTTGTCATTTTTCAAATGATATGTAATCTATTTGATTCTCGGCGACAAATGAAATGGCCACGGAGAGCTTTAGTGAAGTATACTTCATTTTGCTTTTTTATTAGGTTTCGTGGTCCGTTTGACCAACGAAATTCTTTTCAATTAATTAAGGTTTTGGTTGAGATAAAAAAGGAGGGAAAATTCAAATAGGTGGGTTTGAGAGCCGAAGGTCGTGGGTTCGAATCCCGCTCGTGACACTGACTTTTTTATCTCAACCAAAATCTTAATTAATTGAAAAGAATTTACTTGGCCAAGCGGATCACGAAACCTAATAAAATCTACTTAGCATCTTTTCTCACCCTGGTTATAGTCCTTATGTCACAACACTATTGAGTTTTTACGACAAAAATACATTTAGTCAAAAACGACGCTTGAAAGATTACAAATATTGTCCGAAACCTAATGGAAATTCATACGGAGATGTGTAAAAATAGTTTAAAATATTTTATTTTTCTTGAAAGGGATAAATTCAGGGGATTTTGGGTTAAATTTTACATAAAGACTGTTTAGTTAAGAGGATTTTATTTGAAAACCCAACATGTTGAATTTCATTTCGTTAAAATTGACTTTCATATTTGAATAACATCAAAATTATTATTAGAATTTTTAATATAACACGACTACAAACGAAACAGAACCAAAGAAGACTTCTCTGCTAAGAATTTTATTGTAATTACGCTACGATTTTTATTTAATTTTAATCTAAGTGCCGTTTCACTTTTTTAGTTTTTTCTTCTTTTTTTAATATTTATTTCGCATTCTGTTTTGTTTTATTTACGTTTATTTTTATTTTCTTTTTTTTTATTTATCAGAGAGTAATGTGGAGACAAACCGTGGTATGGAACAAGGGCGAGTGGAGAGACAGAAAAAGATACCGCCGATCGATATTCACCTCACAGGTAATTTTTCTTATTTGCATGTACTCTTCTTGGAGATATTAGATCGTTTTTCAGTGAAAGGTAATGTATAGATACCAGAGGAAGAATGAAAATATGACAAAAAGAAAACAGTCATGTGATATGGTGGATTGATGATTCATTCATTTTTGGATTTTCTTCTCATCGTATCGTCACAGTCATAAATAATTGAACAAATCAACAAAATTTTAGTCGGATCTTCTATAGAATTTCTCTTATTTAAAAAATTATCTACGGAAAGAATCTAATTGTGAGTGTAAAACAATTGAATGGAGAATTGGTTAGAGACCCATTTTCTCGCCAAGGTTCGATTAGATCAACGGGGAATTACTTGTAACCAATTCTTTTGAATCGTTTAAGAACTTCTTTTTCCAAGGGATAATTTTACAAATCTATCTGATTTTCACTGTCTCAACAGAGCGTTAACGGGTGATTCTATTGTTCCAGCATTGTTTGCCGCCGTCGAACATGGCCACGTTGACAAAGCAAAGACTATTCTCGAATCAACAGACGTCGATGTCAACGGGTAAGTAAGAAGATTAGTTGTGAAAAGAAAATTAAGAGGTTTAATCGAAAAATTGTGTTTATTTTAGGGTGAACAGCGATGGACTTTCACCTCTGGACATAGCTGTTCTTAGCAATAATAAAACACTTATTAAAATGCTTATTGCTTTTGGTGCTCAAGAAGGAAACGAATGTAAGTACCCAAGTTGAAAAAAAAGACACTTAAGTAAACAAGCATAAAATAATTTTAGTACATTTTTACATGCATGCTAAAAGTTTAAAATGTTGAAGGAAACGTCAAAGCTCAAAGCAAAAATAGTGCTAGATTTTTTTATATAGACTTGTTTATTTTATTTTATTTTTTTTTTAAGAAGCTTGTAAAAATCTATTTTCTTTTCAAGTCTCAAGCGGTGAAAGTTTACTCTGTCATCTACGCAAGTTGAGCTGCGAAGCTGACCAGAGGATCTGCGAACTGGCCGGCCAAGACACGAGGAACCAAAGCCTTTGGCAAAGGCGTTCCAAAGGGCTGGCAAACATGATAATGGGCTTTACGCAAGCAAGTAAGTCCGACTGAATATATTCCAGAAGAGCTTTTTAGGTGTAGAAATACTGCCTTAGTCTATTAAGTTTAGGGATGTTTAGGGATGGTTAGGGATGGTTAAGGACGACTGGGAGTTGTGGCGTGCTCCTGTAATCCAGCTACTTGGAGGTCGGGTCTCGAGGATGGTTTGAGTCCGGGAACCACTGTGGTTGGGTGTTTCTACGTTGACCAGGCGTCCGCACTAAGCTGATCATCAACATGGTTGTTTCCGGGGAGCCGGAAATGTCCAGGTTGCTAAGGAGGGGCGAACCGGGCCAGGGGGGAACTCAGCAGCCTAAAGTCCCCGTGGTTTGCAGTAGTGGGATCGCGCCAGTGAGTCTATTAAGTATAAAAATCAATCATGACTTTTGCAATGGTCTTATCAACTACATTTGAATTAGTAGTTCAAAAATATTTTTGGGGACGTTCACCTCAATGTAAAATTTTCGTAGTTCCTTTCATCCTGGTCCGTCTATTTCTCGTTTCCTGTCTGATCTTTTTTACTGTTTTTTTTCTACGAATATAGCAGTATGATTATTTAGCAAAGTACAGGCATGGATCACAATCCGTCTGCCGGAGGTCGTTACGAGAAAAACAATAAAAGAAAAAAATAATAATAATGTAGTGGTAATAATAAAGAGATAAGGATTAAAGGCGAGGTTATAACATTATTCCTTTATGCTAGCACATACAAAAAAATTAAACATAATAGAAAAAAACTTATAATAAAAACAGACAGTGAAAAGTCTTAATCGTAAAGCGACAAAAACTCAAATATAACAAAATCATATAATATAAAAAGGAAATTGGAGTCAATTGGAGAGGTCAAAAATTGAATTCCATAATTAGATCTAATCTATATTTCCTGGCGCGGACGTACTGCGTGAGCGCCCGTGCATTTGAGCCATCCAAAAGATTTAACAGATTGTTTCTAGAGAGGGTAAAGATCCCAAGTGGAACAACCTGATCTCGCCCAATATTGTACATTCAGCCATAAAATGCAATGTTGTTTCCACAGATTGAGAATTGCAAAGGGCGCATAAACCCTCCTTGCCCCTCAAACACAGTGCAGAGTTCAAGATAAGGGCCTCGCAACTGGTTTTTAATAGCCATCTTAAGTTTGATAGACTAAGGGAATTTAGGTTCTCTCTCTGTTGATTAAGTAAGGTTTGGGGGGTGAGTCAAGTCTTTAAATAAGGAAAAGTTAAGCGAGGACTGAACCCGAAGTAAGCAATCGTCCCGATCCCGTTCCTTCAGCAAGGACAGGTTGCTTCAAATCTTTGAAAGAGCGTAAGCCGTTGGGCCTACCAGGCGGTCTTATTCCTGATGACTTCGATCGCAGTTATTTTAGCCTATTTTATGTAAGGGAAATTCAAAATTTTGGAAATAAATGATAAGTGAAGTTTTAAAGTATATACGTAAATCAGCTCAATGGACGTTTCTAAATAAATCATGTAGTTTGGGCTAGGGTTAGAAAGAACAAATAATTAAGGAATAAAAAATCTTTGGAATTTCTCGACTTCTTCATATTGTCGGTAGACACATAGCAACCGTAAGCGGGGAACACACCCGATGCAACGCCATGCTACGCTACCCGTTGCTACCCGACGCAATTCCAAAGTCCATTTTTCCATAGCATGGTATTACCCTCGTGCACATCTGCCCGATGCCACGCAACGCTACTCTACGCTCTGTGATCCCCACTGTCCAGATTTTCGTCGGGTAGCATCGAGTACAGTCGAAGACAAAAGAACCGGACACTCAGATTTTTATTCAAACTACATGTATTATGGTCGTTATATTAATTACAACATACTTATTTTTAATACAAACCAAATTAACCCAGATCAAAAAATTATTATTTTTTATTTTTAACAAATTAATTTTAATGGTTTGGTAGAAAATTGATCAAAACATCCGAATATCATTTTTTGATATAATGAATTTAACTAACAATTTATGACACGGTTTTGCTCATAAAATTTAACTAACAATTTATTTCATGGTTTTGCTCATAAAATTACACCATTTCCGTCGAGTAGCGTCAGAACAGGACACTCATATTTTTTATAGTTTATTTCAAACTAAATATATGTAATTTTGTCGTTATATCAATTATAACATTCCTATTTTAATGTAAACCCAATAAAACGAGATCAAAAATTCATTAGTTTTTATTTAAAAAAAAAGTAATTTTAATGGTTTGGTACAAAATTGATCAAAACACCGGAATACCATTTTTTGATATAATGAATTTAACTAACAATTTATGACACGGTTTTGCTCATAAAATTTAACTAAGAATTTATTTCATGGTTTAGCTCATAAAATTACACCGTTTTCGTGGGGTAGCATCAGAACAGGACACTCATATTTTGTGTAGTTTATTTCAAACTATGTATATGTAATTTTGTCGTTATATTATTCTTATTTTAATATAAACCAAATTAAACGAGATCAAATATTCATAAGTTTTTATAGAAATTATTTAATTATGATGGTTAGGCAGAAAATTGATCAAAATACCGGAATAATTTTATTTAAAACAATTAAATTTAACTAACAATTTATTACATTGTTGTACTCATGAAATTTAATTAACGATTTATTACATGGTTTTGCTCAAAATAATTCATTAAGATCGAAAGAGGCGTTGCGACTTTAATACACGCTGTTTGACTGTACGTGGCGTGCGCTTGGCGTTGCATAGATGTGCACACCCTACTACAACGTGGCAAGCCATCGGGTAGCGTCGCATAGGGTTGCATCGGGTAAGTGTGTTTCTGGCTTAACTGTCAGGTTCCACTGGGTGGATTATGATACGAATATTTTAATATCATTTTGTAGCCCATTCGGGGTATCTGCCAAAATAACAATATCGTCTGCGTAAATTAGTATTTTTATACTAACGTTGCCTATTCGGACTCCACATTGGAGAGTTGAGGAGAGTTTACTTTACTGGTTTTATGAAAGCTTAAAAATTTTCCTTTTGATTTGTCGTAATCGCCCCCCTTCATCAGACTTTGAACCTTTGTTTTTACGAACCTCCGAGCATTTTCCTATTTAGTTTTAGTCACACACTAAAATAACACCATTTTGTGGTGTTTTATCGACAGTTTTGGTGGAGCGTTGAAGCATGTTGTTTTTTATATTTTCCTTTATGTTTTCAAAATAGACGGAGGTGTGTTGTGCAAGCACGTTGTCAACGTTGACGTGAACCTTTTGTGCCATGATCTCGGGAAAGGGGTTGATTCGTAAATATTCTAGGCCTCATCTCCAAACCCGCCTTGCCTTTATGAATTTAAAATACGTTTGCTCTTTTAAGGATGGATTTTTTATCTTCTAGTTCTACTAGGTATTAATGTTTTGACATTTTGATTGACCATGTCTACTCAACCAGCGAGAATATGCAGAAGTTGGTTAGTGATAATCGAACAACGAACTTTAAGATGTTTGTCATTCGATAATCTTCAGGGTTTTTTGTTTTTTGTAGTATCCAAGATTTTTAAAATAATTTTTATTTTTCAAATATTAATTATTATAGTGATTAGCCTGATCTGATACATTAATTTTAAATGTCAGAGGTTTCCACTTGGATTTTTTCAACTTAACTTTTTTTCAATTTATATCACAAAAGATTTGATTACACATTTATATTTTAATGCTGCATTCAAATTAGAAACCGTTCAAACTCTTTATATTTAAAATAAAGTACGAAAGGATTGTTGTTGTTTTTTCAAGTTTATGAACAAAGTTTTCTGTAAGAAAAATTCTTTTTTCCATCTCATTTAACGTATATCATTACGTTTGTATTAAACGTTATTATTAAAATTTGTTAATTGTGCTTTTTTTTTAATAAGGACCACCGGATATACCATCTCTGGCCGCCGTGGACGTTACCGGTAGCCACATGGTCAACGTCAGGTACCAGGAGCCTGAAAGCCCTGATTCTCCCCCGTGCACAAAGTACAAAAGTAAGTATATAACAAAAACAAAAACCCGTAAACGTTCCCGTGAACATTCCAATTTTACACGGCGTCGGCGAATTACCGTGATCGTTTGTTCACCGGCAAAACGAGCCGGTTTCACAAGAAAACTGTTTTCCACCAACGTTTGCTGACTGGCACTACGTCAAATATTGACTTTGCCATATTGAATCAAACTCCTCCTGTTAATTAAGCCCGTGTTAACTACGGGTTAATTATTCGGCCGGAAGGAGCTCGTCGAAGATTTGCCCCCCTAATTGAAATCACCGGCGAAGAACAATAGGAAACTGAAGAACTGTAACATTCCATTATAGAAGGCTTTATTTCCGATTTAATCAACTTATATAAAATATTTTGACAACGTACACATGTCGTTTACTTTATTCAAGGTCTCAACATAAAATCAGCAAAGCATTGCTTTGTTAAATCTACCCTAGATAATTAAACGTAAATAAATATTTTGTTACTTTTAGTCTACTACAATAAATGACTCACCATATAAAGTATTTCAAGAAAAAATTTAAAGGTCGTGAGATGCGGTCTGGTGTGACGTGGGTTTTAGAAAAACATTTTCTTTATCGTGCCAACGTTCGATCTTTATTGAGATCATCTTCAGGGCCTGGGATAAACATTGTTTGAATTTTACAAATACATGTAGATGTGGAAAAGAAATGAATGTATACAATGCTAGAAAATTTTAGATTAAAAAAATGAATTTACACAATGCTAGAAAATTTTTGCTAAAAACTGAATATTTGCAATGCTAGATAATTTTAGATTACAAAAAACTGAATTTATACAATGCTAGAAAATTTTAGATTCAATCAAAGTATTTGCACACTCAGTGCCAGTGACAGGGAAAACAAACACTTTGAGTGAGTACAAATACATTGATTGAATCTAAAATTTTCTAGCAATGTATCAATTCTTTTTTTTATCCAAAATTTTCTAGCATTGTATAATTATTTTTTTAAATCTAAAATGTTCTAGGATTGTATAAATTCAATTTTTTTCACATCCTATATGTATTTATGAAATTTAAACAATGTTTATAAATCCCAAGCCCTGAAGATGATTTTTACTAAAGATCGAAACATTGGCATGATAAAGAAAATGTTTTTCTAAAATCTACATCACACCAGACCGCATCCCATGACCTCCAAATAATCACCAAGTAACGGTCACTAAACACCACACAAAAAATTTAAACAAATTTTGATCCTATGAAAAATAGCATGCTATCACATGAAGAATAAAGTCGGTGGATGTTCCTCTGCAAGTCAGTGAACATATGTTGGACTGGCCCTAGGTTACTTACTGGAACCATCTGAATTGTGGGTTTCAATGTTACACAAGAGTGTTACAGCTTTGACCATTGTTATTGAAGAAAACTGAAACTATCATTAAATAAATAAATCTTTATTTTGGCACAAAGTACTCTTGTATTAATTATGAATACAACGTATTTACAGAGACTCAACCTTGATAAGGCAATAAATAGATGTTTATTAACAAAATTATATATGCATATAATGCGAAAATAAACAATTAATCTTAGTCTCAAGTTTTAAGGCCAAGGGGTAATCAAATACTTAAAGATGAAAAGGGATTGGACTTGGCAGATAGAGTGATGAAGAAAACTGACTGGGATAAAGAGAGCAGGAAGAAGCCCCTTCAGAAGGGGCGAACGAAGAAGCCAAAGAAGCATCGCTTGTGGTAGTAAGAGTACAACTTTTTCAAGTTGGTGTACCGATCAGTCACACCAGACCTCCTTGTGGAGCCAAAGATAAAATGTACAAGCTTCTCTTCAAGCTCCCCAGTGAGTCCCATATACACAGTACATCAATAATTATGGAAATAAGGGATAACTAGGAGTTTATACATACTAAATGGGAGAAGGTACATGGACGAAAATGATGGAGGATGGAAAAGAAGCATAGGAAAAACTGGGAGAAATGCTACTTACAGGGCAAGGTATGTCCAAGGACAATCTCAAGGTCCTTGATGGTGAGATAGAAAAAAAAAATTGAGTGATTGTTAATTGTAAATGGAAGGATACGAGGTAAGGAATGGAGTAGAGAACTGGTTGTAAACACAATAGTCTGGGACTTATTTAAGTTAAGCTAATACCCTAGGAGGTAATTGAGTTTAATATCTCTTGAATTCTTACAACTGCAGCCTGTAAATCAGGATGCAGGAAGGATAGGTAAATTTGGGAGTCATTTGCATAAAGGCTATGGGAGCAATATTTTATGTATTTTTGTATCATTAATGTAACAGCAAAAAAGAGAAATGGAAGTCTTTATGACTTTCCATGTATAAAAAAAGTCTGCACAAAAGTGGTCTGAAGGAGCAATGTCAGAATAATTGGGTGGGTGCAGTAGACATCCCTGCAATGTCTTCCTTCAATTTCTTTCGTTCTTGAATTTTTTTACCAGGAGTGAGTTATTCATTACATGATTCTAAACTATGCCAGGCATAGCGAAATAATTTTATAACAAATGTACAAAAAGAAAACAAAAATTAATCCAAAAAGCAAAACGATTTTCAGATTTTAATTTACAAAAATAAATTATAAAAATAAATAAAAACATTACAATATGTAGTAGAAATGTTTTCCTTCTTATTTTTCACTGATTGAATATGTAATTTATATTACAATTAATTAAGGTTTTTAGTTGAGATAAAAAAGTCAATGGCACGAGCGGGATTCGAACCCACGATCTTCGGCTAGATACGCCGCTGCTCTACCACTTGAGCTATCGTGACCTCGATCCACTCGGACACCAACTTTCCATCTCAACCGCACCTTTTGAATTTTCCCTCCTTTTTGCCATTTTTCAAATGTCGTGTAATCGGATTGGATTCTCGACGACAAATGAAATGGCCACGGAGAGCTTTAGTGAAGTATACTTCATTTTAAATCATTAAATTTACTAATTTCGTGGTCCGCTTGACCAATTAATATATTACAATTAATTAAGGTTTTTAGTTGAGATAAAAAAATCAATGGCACTTGGCAAAAAGGAGGGAAAATTCAAAAGGTGGGGTTGAGATGGGAAGTTAGTGTCCGAGTGGATCGAAGTCACGATAGCTCAAGTGGTAGAGCAGCGGCGTATCTAGCCGAAGATCGTGGGTTCGAATCCCGCTCGTGCCATTGACTTTTTTATCTCAACTAAAAACCCTAATTAATTGTAATATATTAATTGGTCAAGCGGACCATGAAATTAGTGAATATAATTTATATCTTTAAACAAGAATATTAACTAGAAATATTATAATGACGCGATTTATTTTTTTAAAAAATACAAATTTTTCAATTATTTTACAATGGTCTTATGTAAATAACAAAAAAAATGAGTTTTTGAAAATTGCTCAAAGTTTTATTTGTGGTTTTGTGCTGATATTTCTTCCCATAAATATTCAGCTCACTGTGCTAAAACCTAAAAGTGTGAAATTGTGTGGTCTAAATTGTAATTTTGTGTTTGATTGTTTTACAGTTGAATGGAGTCAGGATGATGAATTTAAAAGCTTGTGCGGATATCGAATCATTCTTGATCCAAAACAGCAGGACTGTCACATTGACGAGTTGAACCATGGTCAACGATACTATTTCAGGGTGTGTTGTGGGAATGTGAAAGGTTGGGGTCATCCTCGTCCTTCGACTCCTCAGTCTGTCGTACCTTCGAGTATGTTGAAATATTTAGCCCGATCTGACATAAATGAATTCTAGGTTTTTTTTTTTTTTGTTTCTTTTGATTTTAAGGTTGGAGGGATGTTGTGAAAAGAGATGATAGGATGTGTGCTGAAGGGATAGCCCAGTTGGACAAGCTCTTCAGGGAAGTGCGGACAGGACGGCCAGACATTAAAGCCCTGCAAGATGCCGCAGTTGGTGAAAGGCGGAAAAAAACCACAATTAAACAGTTGTTCACAGCTGCTTCTAAATTTCAAAAACACTTAAGACGGTTAGTTGCTAACCATAATGTAAAACAAATAAATCTTGAATATCATTAATAATTATATACCTTACATTTATCTTCTTAATCAATTATCTGGATCAATTCTACTTATCTTTTTTTATATAAAAATTTGTTTTTAATATTTTATTACCTTGGTCTTTTTCTATGATAGAGATAAAATTTTCTTAAATTGTTTTTCAGAGGAGTTTATCTTTCTTGCTTGTTCTACCATGAGGACAAGGTGCTTGTTACAAATGAAGATTTTTTGCCAGTTATTGAGGTCGATGAAACTTATCCAGGGTCCATTTATCATGATTTTCACTGGCTTTTAAAAGTCTCGTGTACTTGGGACGATGTCAAATGGCTGAGGCAAGACATGGAAAAATCATTAAGCTCACCTGCCATACATTTTAGAATAAAACTGCTCCAGGCCGCGGCACAAATGCAGGTTAGTTAAACAATGTTTTAAATCATGAAAGATATGTTGACACTTTGTCTTTTTTTTCAGACTGCTCTCAGTGTTCAGGATCTAGGCCAACTTTACCACAAGCCGTTACGGGATACAGAGGGCACGATAGTTATAAGTACAGTAAATTACATTCGATCTCCTAAAAGTGTTTCTGTTCTCAATTCGAGATGGGTTCCACTTGGCAAGCTTACAAAGCGTACTCTTAATTTAGCGACAGAAGCTCCTCTTGGGGACATACTTATGTCTTCCATATCTGTAAGTACGAAGAAAAACTTACAATAACTGTTTATTAAATTAAAGTTTTTCAACAGGACCAAATTACCTATCACCAAGTCAGTAGCATAAGACTTCCAAGAGGTCTTTACTTAGGTTACCTAAAAATGAGAAGTTCCGTTGATCTCCTTCAAGTATTGGTTCCTGCAAAAGCCCCCAATGTACCTCCACATTGTAAAATTAGGGACAATCCTCATATCACTGCGTAAGTTGATAATTTGATTTAATAACAACACTACAAAATATAATTAATATAAATTTCTAGAGAGGAATGGGAATGCCTTACCAGCAAAAATGGCTCTACTGATTCATTGCACCCAGAAACCGAACAGCAAAAAACTTTTGTGGAGCAGGTTGCTGCGACTATCAACCGTCTTTTGACATACATGCAAGTGTCAGAAGATCAGTCTCAGAACCATAGATTGTACGATGCAGAAGTCGTCGAAGTGAGCAACGAAGTCAGCCTGTTAATTGTGGTGCCTCCACCTGAAGCGGCCTGTTCAGCCCCTGGGCAAGGAGAAATTCTACTTCAACGCCCTGATCTCATCCCTTTACCCGTACAGGTATACAATTTTTTTTAAACTTTTATTTTCCTAGTGACTAGAATATTCATCGTTGCATAGGTTTTCGAAATGGTACATTTGGGTACCTACCATAAACAGCTGGTTGCTCGTTATTCAAGATTAAGCTGCATAATCGAATTGGACACTGCTCTGGCTCAACATAGCCATAGAGAGGTTTGTATTTTCAATTGTCTTTTTAGCAATGGTTCAAATCGTGATAAAAAAAAATGAAAACATTTCAACAGGCATTTTCAAGTTCTGAAGTCAGCGCAGCAAAAGAAAGACTCTCAAGGCTCGAAGCGCTTCAAACCCAGCTTAACGCAGCTTGGAAGCAAGCACGGTGGTTGTTAGATGTTTTAGCATTTGCGAGAGATAAAGTCAGCCAAACACCGACCAACATCATCCGCCATCTGTTGGCTCTGCATCCTAAAAGATCTCATGAGAGCATCACTTCTCACAACGGGGTAAGATTAATTTACAAATTGTCCACATTTTAAAAGATAACACTGTACAATTTTAATAATTTTAAAACAAATAAATGCATTATTCTCACCAACAGATAGATTGGGGCAATCTCAGTCTTTATTGCATCAAAAGTCAAGAAGAATTTGATAGAGAAGCTTCATCAGTGCCTGCCACCGGAAAGAGCATGATTCAAATGTTACAGAGGACTATGTCAATTATACATGAAGAAGGCAACCCATGCATGAGATCGTTTGACGATAAAGAGACACTCGGAGAGATAAATTTAGGATTCAGCCAAGATTCAGTTGAAGACGAATACCAAACTATCCCAGACTACCTTGAAGAGCAAACAAAGCCAATAATTGATGAGCATCCTTATCATAGAAAATATCTGAGAAGGAACAGCCTGAATCCGCAGTTGTTGAACAGAAGCCAGAGCATGAAGGAGCCTATTGAATATAAGCCAAAACCGCCGATGAGATTGACTTTTAAAATTAACCCTTTAAAACAAGATGACAAAAAAAATTTAAGGGATGAAAAAGATCAGGAAAACCATGTAACACAAGTCATTGAAACACAAGTTGAACCTTGTGAAACAAAGCATTTAAATGTGGCAGAAATTGAACAAGATGGAGTTGAAAAACAAAATGAAAAAGATACAAATAAAATAAAAGCTGAAAATGAACGAATTTGCAAAACTACCTATGATGATGTAAGAGATTCTAATGTAATTGAAAACAATAGAAATAAAGAATGTGAGAATGAGTCTAAACATGATGATATTGGTGAAAGTAATATCAACAAATATGAAAAAGCTGTAGGCTCATCTTTAGTAATAAAAGATAAAACACACTTTGAAGAAACAAGAGATAAGGTTGATCATGATTCACACGAAAATGAAAAATCATTGAATAACTTCCAAGAATCTGTTAGAAGATTTGCAACTATGAGCTCCAATGTATCAAGTAAAAAATTAGAACCAATCCAAAACAAAATAAAAGATAAAGATAATGATAAAACATTTATACAGAAAAATCCTCGGAGAGATCAAAAAAGTTTAAGCACTGTTAAAAAATTGAATAATGCATCAAGTAAAGCCTCAGTTTCTTTAGAAAATCACAACAGGGAAACATCTTTTAGAAAAACTGAAAACAGGAAAGATAATACGAAAGAAAAGAAAATTAAGCCGGCTGAGAAGTCAGCCCTGGGTGAATTGAAGGTTAAACCGCAAAACAAAGAAAACCCGGCTTCTTCAAGACAAATGAGCCAAGCCGAAAAAGACCAGTTGAGAAGTTCAGTGAAAAAAATTTGCCAGAAACACATGTCATTAGATCAATTAGAATACAAACCGAGGATCAAAGAAGAGCTGACTGTCTACAAAAGTAAAAGTGTTAAAAATCCCAGTAAAACCTCCATTGTGAATCGCAAAGAATCACATGGAACATATTTTTCACAAGAAAGGGAAAAATCTGAAAATTCTTGCAGATCTTCACAGCAAAAGTCAACTTTGGGTAAAAGGAAAAGTCAAGACGGAATTGAAGTTTCACCTTGTGCAGTTGATATAAAGGAAAAGAAAGAAAATGTGGCAAAACCAACACAGGCAAATTTATAAAAATTATACCTCCCAAAAAAAATCTAAATCTACCTACTTCTTGCAATATTCAGATGTGACTGACATATCGCCATAATGTGTGTGTGTATGTTTTTTCTTTTTGTGTGTGTGTGTGTGTTTATTTCATTTTTACTTCAAAGCAGCTTAGATACGTTTTTTAAGGTGTGAAAATGGTAAAAACTATGGAATTCAAACCACGCATAAAACAAATTCCATAATTCCTCACGGCACAGGATACTGTTGTACTAAAATAAATTTAGTATCGTTGTTGTATGCACAACTTTGCATGAAAAGAATCGTTAACAATATTGAAAAAATAATTTATAAATTTTCTTCTTAGCTGTTACTTCCACCAGAAACAAAAAATGTCAAATCAAGAGGATCATGGCCAGGACCTGGTGTTACAAGGTTGTTATGCGCTGCCACTGCAGAACTTTCACGGAGTGAGCACCAACTAAGTTCAGCTGGATCGAGCACTCCACCACCTGTACAGAGAGCTCAACCACCTCCTATCATCCAACCGGTTTCTCCACCTGGTAAATGAATTCACCCGTGTATCTTTGTAGATATTTTTTCACTTGTTATTGTTTAACAGCTGTGCTGCTGGAACAGCCGAGGCTTCCGCCTTCAAAGTCTGAAGACACTTTAGCACTTCATACACGCGTCATGGCTGCCCATTCGCGAAATAGGACTAGTAGTTCGGCTGCCACTTCGCCCTCTCTTTCTGTCCGACAAAGGTAATTAAAACACTATCAAAGTAATTTATAAATAATAAAGAGTTTATATTTGCAGCTATGGGAGTGGAAGTTTGTATTCATTGTCTTCTGACGACTCTGGTGTGAATGTGAGCAAGAGCAAAAGTGAAGGGGAAGAAGGTACAACTGTACCAGCACCATCACCAGGTATTTTACAGGTAAATGTTATAAACTGTATTTAATGTTCATTTTCATTTGGTAAATAAATAAAACAAACAGCTTTACTGAAAGACAATATTTTCCACCCTTAGGTATATGCAGCTTATGAAACTGGACTGGCATCTGGTACTAGTTTAAAGCTTCATGTAAGCCCAAGAACTACTGCTCGGGAAGTTGTTGATCTCGTAGTTAAACAATTAAACATGGCTGTTGTCCTTAAAGGAAAAGATGGGCCTATTTACCCAGCAGAACAGTTGCATAATTTTTGTCTTGTCGCTGTGATCGGTGCTCGGGAGAGGTGTCTAAGAGATGACTTTAAACCTCTGCAACTGCAGAACCCATGGAAAAAGGGCAGGCTGTACGTCAGGCAGAAGCATGACGTATTGGCAGCTCTGGAACAGAGCTCAAGACATTCGGCATACTTATAGTCCGAACTGACACCTTGAACTTTTCCTTGAGACTGCCCAATTCATCTCATTAATTAAAATGAAAGTATAAGACTGTTTAAATAAAGATGAAAAATTAGTCAACAGTTCTGAAGACGAAGACAGTATTACTAATAAATCTAAAAAGGGCTGAACTTCAAATGTGAGTTCGAATTTTTAAAAATTGTATAAACATTCACATTAATACTAAATAGTAAAATCATTTGGAGAGAAGTATGTATGTGCGTGCGTCAAAATGAAAAAGGCTTTTTACCAAGCCCACAAGTATCGGTTTACCAAATTTGTGAACTACATCTTGCGATCTAACCGTCCAAATGATTCATTTTTCCAAAAGAATATGCAAGTTTGAAGATCTCTTGGCAATTACCAGAAAGCTACTGAGTTTTGGGCTAGGCCATTTAGATTGTAAATTTTAATTATCTTCTGATTAAAAGAAAAATTAGTATATTAATAGTCGAATAACTTATTTGATAGATAATATAATATATATTTATGTAGTTTCACTATTGGCTGTTATATTAGGAGGTAAGTTACTGGTAAAAGTATTGTGATGTCAAACCATCAAATATGCTGCAAACAAAGTTTAGTTTTAAAACAAAAAGATGTGTTATTTTGAGTGCAATACATTTGCAATGTGTAATTATTTTTAATTGTACATAGAATTATTTTTTCTATAGTATATATAAAAAAGAAAGCAAGAGAAAGAAAGAAATGAAAAGAATTATTAAAATTAAATGCTGTGCATATCTTTATTCATTAAATAAGATTTATTTGAACTAATTCATATTCAAATGGACCACTTGAAAATAAACAAATTGTGAGATTTGCTTTTTTTTCAAATTTATGTTTTAAAAAATCATCAAAAAACAACTATCAGATTGTTTAAAATTAAACGATTCAACTATTTCTTATTTTATATGATCACTGGGTGATAAAATCATTTTATTATTCAATATTTCGTGAAACTGTTTAGCGTGAGACAATATCTGCGCACCACATCAACATTTGAAGAAGACAGAATAATATTGAGAAAACTTTTACGAATGTTAAATTCTAGAAAAAATACTTCCTTTATGTAATGATCAGTTTTATGTACATAATGCAAATAAATGTTATTTATAAACAATATGTCTTTATTTAAAAAAAAATATATTCTTTAAATATAGAAACCAGCTTTGAGTTCGTCTATGTTCGTGGGTTTTTTGAGTTGCTCAAACACATTCCGGCATTAGACCATCTTCACTGAGGAACTTACATAAAAAATAATAATAATAATAATAATAATAATAAACCTATTAGCATAGATGCAGTGTTAGTTTCAACACATGTTCGACTCATTGACCAAGATCCATCACCACATTGTTCTTTATACTTAAAAAGAAGTGTGTGGTGATTAGTGACCGTTAGTGGATGATTATTCAGAAATCGTGAGATGCGGTCTGGTGTGATGTAGGTTTTAGAAAAACATTTTCTTTATCGTGCCAACGTTTCGATCTTTATTGAGATCATCTTCAGGGCCTGGGATTTACAAACATTGTTTACATTTAACATGTGGAAAAGTGAATTTATACAATGCAAAATATATTTTTATATATTCAATCAAAGTATATCTACTCACTCAAAGTGTTTGTCTTCTGTGTAATTGTGCCATTCTTACGAGTCGTGTTATGAGTGCCAGTGAGATATTACTGTTTTATGTTTATATACGTTGGATTTTGAAGGGGTGGGGAAGGAAGTCCGTATAGAAAGACATTTTTGTATAAGGGGTCGGCGTCTTTGAGGTGAAAAGAGCCGACGATGGGAAAAAACATTGGTAATGGTTCGGCCAGATTATCCTTTCAGGGTTAGATAGACGAGGAAAATTAGGGAAAGGAAAGCCAAATTGTTGAAGGATTAGACTATGTAGAAATGTTTGATGTGTGGAATGTGATGAATGTTTTATATGTTATATTATATGTTTTGTGTGATGTGATGGTGAAATATGTATGTTATCGATATTGAATTTGATTAATGATATTGGCGTAGCTGCGATTGAGTTTACATGTATCTGTTCCGTAATTGATGCTGTATTTATCTCTGTTGGTATAAACCATTTCTAAAAAGTTACGTTTATGTTTGTATTGTTCTGTGTGTAATATTTTTGGATTGTTGAAGTCGAAATTGTGTTTGTGTTCAAAATGGTGGGTAGCAGTGTTGTAGGATATTGCATGGGTTTTTTGCGATCATACTCTTTACTGCTTTACTCTCTTGTCCATCAAATATTGGGATGTAAGACCGATGTAAGTTGCCGGACAGTTTAAACAATTGATTTTGTAGATTACGTCATTTTTATTTGTTATTGGTGTGGGATCTTTAATTTTGGAAAAAAGTGTATGAATTGTTTTATAATTATTGAAAGCTATTTTAAAGTTATCGGAGTCGAACCATTGTTATGAACCTGTTCTTTGATAGATTTGTGTATGGTGTTTTGTTGGGCCATTTATCTTTAATAATGTTCAGTGTGTGTCTATTGGAATGTTGGTGAACAATGATGAAACATCTAGGTATATGAGAGAGTAGTGTGAGGGGCCGTGAATATTATTCATTCTGTTAATGAAATGAATCTTTTACGTTATATCTGTTATCTGTGATGTTGAGTATGTTGGTTAGGTATTTTGTCATGTTATACGTAGGGGAATTCACAAACGAAATTATTGGTCTTAGAGGGTGTTCAGGTTTATGTGCTTTTACAGATCCATATATCGGGGCGTTGGTGTATATATATTTTTTTTTCTTTAAGTGTTTCTTGGAGAATTTTATTTGTCTGTTTGATGAGAGAAGGGGTAGGGTCTGAAATGATTGTGCTGTATGTGTTTGTGTCGTTGATAGTTTTGTTAATTTTTTCCCTGTACTCTTTTTTGATGATTGCTACTGTTTGTTTTGTTTTATCAACAGAAAGAATGAGTATGTCAGGATTATTTTTGAGAAAATATTTGGTTTTGGTGTATGTTTGTTGAGATATGTTGTGTTGATTTGAGGTGAGGTGTTGTAAGTGATTTGTTATTGTATTTTTCTTCCTCTGTTTTTGTGGACTTTTGGATTGCATAGTCTGCACCAATAATTAATTTAGCTGTTGGGAAATCTGTTTTGTTGTAAGGTATTACATATTATATTATATCTGTATTAACAGAATTAATAATTATTCAGATATCGTGAGATGCGGTCTGGTGGACCGATCTCACGATATCTGAATAATTATCAACTAACGGTCACTAATCTCTACACAGAATTAATAATATCCACATCCCCTCACACTAATCTCTCGTATCCCTAGATGTTTCATCATTGTTCACCAACATTCCAATGGACACAACACTGAACATTATTAAAGATAAATTGCCCAACATAACACCACACACAAGTCTATCAAAGAACACGTTCATAACAATGGTTCGACACTGTTGTATCAACGGATATTTTACATACAATAATCAATTTTACAAACAACTATGTATTTTGCATAGCCATGGGTAGCAACCTAGGTCCGATACTTTAGACATAATTATGACACAACTATTAAACACAGTTATACCACAACTTCCACGCCTACAATTTACACATGAAATCAAAAACAACAAAACTTTACCATTTGTAGATACACTCGTAATAAAACAACCAGATGGCACATTAATCCCAGATTAGTATCAAAAACCAAGAAACACAGAACGCTACCACAACTTTACATCTCACCATCCTCTTCATACAATAATAAACACGGCCAAAGGATTACTTCACAGAATGATTACCCTAAGCCATGAATCATTTCACCAAAAGAACATAAAAATATACAAACAGATCCTCCATAACAATCACTACCCTAAGCACATAATCAACAACTACAACTCAACACTATCATCATCCACTATCAAATATAAACAAACCAACATACATTTCCATGCCATTCATTCACGGCCTATCACATAAATTAAACACATTTCTCTCGTCCGATAATTTTAAACTAGCTTTCAAAAATTATAAAACAATTCAAACACTTTTTTCCAAAATTAAAGATCCCACACCAATAACAAATAAATCTGACGTAATCTACAAAATCAATTGTTTAAATATTCCTGAAATTTACATCGGAATTACATCCCAATGTCTGGATAAGAGAGTAAAGCAACATATCTATGAATGCAAAAAACCCAAGCAAAATCCTACAGCACTCGCTACCCACCATTTTGAACACAAACACAATTTCGACTTCAACAATCCAAAAATGTTACACACAGAACAATACAAACATAAACGTAACTTTTTAGAAATGGTTTACACCAACAGAGATAAACACAACATCAATTACGGAACAGATCCATGTAAACTCAATCGCAGCTACGCCAATATCATTAATCAAATTCAATATCGATAACATACATATTTCACCATCACATCACACAAAACGTATAATATAAACATATAAAACATTCATCACATTCCACACATCAAACATTTTTACATAGTCTAATTTTTCAACAATTTAGCTTTCCTTTTCCTAATTATCCCTGTCTATATAATCCTGAAAGGATAATCTGGCCGAACCATTACTTATTTTTTTCCCATTGTCGCCTCCTTTCGCCTCAAAGAAGATACAAAAAATGTCTTTCTATACCGACTTCCTTCCACACCCCTTCAAAATCCAACGTATATAAACATAAAACAGCAATATCTCACTGGCACTCAAGACGACACGCAAGAATGGCACAATTACACAGAAAACAAACACTTTGAGTGAATAGAAATACTTTGATTGAATATAAAAAATATATTTCTTTGCATTGTATAAATTCTTTTTAAGCCAATGTAAACAGTTTTATTTATTAATAGTTAATTAAGAAATCTTCATTTGTTATCTTAAATTTATCATCTTGAAAAATTGTGAAAAAGGAAAATTTGTAAGGATCAAGACGCTGGGGGGAGAAGCAGGTCAATTTTCAGCAAGACGTCGTAAAAAGAGTGAGTCACTGCCTGGTTCTCGACCTGTACGCACGAACGTTCATCAGCTGTACATCAATGTTTCGTACACGCCGGCGGGAGTACGTATTGGTTTTGGTTATCTACCCTCCAAGTTCGGCGCTACCAGGGATAGTTGCCGGCTGTTGCGTAAAGGATTTGATGAATAAAAAATTGTTTAATAATTCGTTTGATAATTAAATTTATTAATTCACAATTTATGACATAAATACGGAAACTAGAATCTGGCCAGAAAACAAACAAAGTTAACGAGAAGAAATATAGCGAGAGATTATTTGATATACAGAGTGACAATGTTGAGAAGAAAATGACTAAGGACGGTTCGTACGCCTTGTCAACTCACGACAGGGAAGATCAAACGAGAAGTTGGTGCTTATCTGGGAGCCACTCGCCGGACGAAGTCAAATGTGCGTTCGTTCGTACCCGTCGGAAACCAGAGAGCGACTGGCTGAAGACAGCTGATGAACGTTCGTGCGTACAGGTCGAGTACCAGGCAGTGACACTCTTTTTACGACGTCTTGCTGAAAATTGACCTGTTTCTCCCTCCAGCGTCTTAATTTTCCTTTTTCACAATTTTTCAAGATGATAAATTTAAGATAACAAATGACGATTTCTTAATTAACTATTAATAAATAAAAATGTTTGCATTGGCGTAAACAAATTCAATTTTTTCCACATCCTACATGTATTCGTTAAATTTAAACAATGTTTGTAAATCCCAGGCCCTGAAGATGATCTCAATAAAGATCGAAACGTTGGCACGATAAAGAAAATGTTTTTCTGAAACCTACTTCACACCAGACCGCATCTCACGATTTCTGAATAATCTTAAAAAGAAGATTGAAAACATAACATTCAGAAATTGAAAATATATCAACAAACTTTGATGCTGTTGAAATTCAGCTGTAAAGGTTATGATTTTCCTAGTTATGCAAAATTTTAGGAACATTAAGGATATATGTATTAATATACACCAATGCAAAACTGCACACAGAGAAGTTCAACATCTGAACACATATCAGCTCTGGTTTGTCCATAGTATTCATTTTTATTTATTTGAAAGAAGTGCTGATGAAGATCATCTTAGATGGCAGTGATCCAGCAATTTAGGCTTATTTTTCTTCAACTTATCCTTTCTCACTTATCCGCAAAAACATTCTTTCTTTTTTACATGCCATTCACTCGACTGCTCCTTACGTACATAATGTTCCTCCATTTATGCTCTTGTTCTACATACACATTCACACTTATAAATACATTCTCACAAAACAGTTAACACATACTACATCTATAAACAAACTCTATGTAATATATACAAAGTAAATTAGCTGCAATAAAAAAGTATCTACATGTCATCGATTGAGGGCGAAGAGACAAATATTTCAGAGAAATTATACGAATCGAAGTGTGTTCTAGATCGTATACAGCTCAGCTGTATACACATTGCAATGTCTATAAAGTGTTCAAGGTCTGATTTTGATTGTTATCCAAGGTAAATTCAATAAAAAAAGTTGACATTATTAAATTTATTTTTAAAACAATTTAATAACACTTAAACAAATTCAACAAATGTCAAAGAAAAAATAAAAGGGGTGTGTTTTAAAACAAAATTACTTTCTTTAATCACAGTAATTACTACACAATATAATTTTTCTTGTCTATAGCTTACCAGATGCTTTTTTTTTTCTTTTTAAAGCTATATTGTGAAAATTAAAAACATTAAATTCACCATAAGCCACATAAGAAATGCACAGCCGTACAACATACTAGCTATACAGTACATCAATGATCCTTACATTCAAAATTGAAATAACCGACTAGAAATGAAAATTTATAAAAATATATTACTTCCAGATGTGCCAAATTTCTTCAATTTTATTCTTTCCCTTCAAACTTTATACATTATTTCAGTCTTAAAATAAAAGCAAAGAACATATATATATATAAATGAAATTGAGAAAAATAAAATATACTACTTCTGCATCTGGTAAAACTTTTTTTAAAATAATTATTCTCAGGTACTGTTTTTAAACAAATGTACCTGAGGTGACAAAGCAAAAATTGATGTTTTTTTAACGTTTAATACATTTATGTCCCTTTTAATGTTTAAAACTTTAAAAGGTTGATAAATATCACCATTCAAGGAATCACATTACATCTAAACTATGAATAATGTGACGATAATAAATTAATAAGCGAAGCTGATATACTTTGATAAATGGGAGACATACTAAATTGAGAGGAAAAACCTAAACTTTATCATTTGTAAATTTACAATACTAAAAAATAAAAACTCTGAGATGTTCTATGATTGTGTTTTAATAAATGAAGCATTTTCCTCAGAGTAGGGACCTATAATCCTAGTTTGCTTCCCTTTTTCTGTGTTTGTTTATACTAGTTGTGTAAAAGATCAGCGAGTTCGGCTGGAGTGGTTACAGGCAAGGAGCATGTCTTCCCACGGCACACGTATACCGCCTGTCGATCACCCTGTTTTTTCATTTTAGCAATGGCGTGATTCCTCTTGCTTAGAAAACTGTCTTGGTCTTCTCCTGTCGTCATCACGAGAAGGCCTGGTATGAATTTCTGCCTGGCAACGTTTACCAATTCAGCCGTCTCACTGTTTGAAATATCACCGGTGACTACGACCTGGGTAGGGGAGTCGTGGTAGAGCATCAGAGCTGTCACCATTTCGGGCAAAGCCATAGGCACTCGTGTCAATCTGCTTGTAAATGATGATAACAACTTGGAAGCTTTGTCCTTCATGCCCTCGTTGTCCAGAATTGTCGACAGTCTAACAAGGTTACTCGCAGAAATGGAATTACCACTTGGCTCGGCACCGTCTTGATCTAAAAATCAAATCATCTATCAAAAAATTAAAACACAACATGAATCTTATTTCTTGATATTTTGCAACATTGTAACTAAATAAAAGAAATTAATCTGTCAGAAGCATTTAAATTCTTGTGATATAAAAATTTCTTTTTTGGACTAAATTATCTGGTTGTTAGAAGTTCGACTGTACCTTCTTTGAGTCTAAACAAGCTGTTTGTATCTGAAGATGATGTTGAGAAGTATCCAGCCAGTCCATGATCCCAGAATAGTTCATCTTGAACATGTTGAAGCTCATCAGCCCAAATTAGCCAATCTTCATTAAACGTGCATTCATATAAGTCAATCAGCCCTCTTATTAAACACGCGTAATCATCGGCGAACCCTTCAATCGGGTTTTCTCTGTCAAAAAAAATTTTATTCAAATTTCTATGCTCAATTTTGAATGTTAAATTACGGTTAGAAAAAAATTACATTTGCACCACCGAATTATTCTGAGTATAGCAACTTCTTAAAAGCCTTTTATTCGAATTGTAAAGGTATTTTTTAACAAACAAAGCGGCATCTTCAGCCCTCTTTTGGTATGTTTCATCATTAAGAGCAGTAGCTGCTCGAGCATAACCAGAAATCATAAGGCCTAAAACATAATAAAAGTTAAGCAAAATTAACTTTAAATTTTAAAAACAAAAAAACTACCATTCCAAGCAGTTATAATTTTGTCATCGAGATGTGGCTTCGGCCTTTTTTGCCTTTCCTCAAATAAAATTTTCCTAGCTTTTTCCAACTCTTTACTCAATTCCTGCTCGCTCAGCCCAAATTTATAGGCTGTATCTTTTAAACTCCCAAAAACAACAAGGACATTTTGACCTTTAAGCTCGTTATGGGGGTCCAGCTCTGGGTTGACATTGCCTTCACTTTTGACTGAGTAATGATGACAGAAAATCTAATAAAATAACTCATCAGAATTAAAAAGCAAGCTGTAAAAGATTGTCAATTTATTTACATCTGAGAGGTTGACTTTGGGTTTTGAAGTTACGGGTTGATTTAATAAATTTTTAATATCCTCATATGTCCAGACACAAAAAGCTCCTTCTCGTTTTACACTTTCACCCTCTACAGGAAAAGAATCAGCATCTTCAGCACTATAGAAACCACCTTCCTAAAATTAAAACAGTAATAATTTTTTTTTTTTTTTTTTAATTTATGTGAAAATAATTAAACCTACAGGATGACTTAAATCGCGAGAAACGTAAGTAAGAATATCTTTAACGATGTCAGCATATTTCTCATTTTTAGTGACTAAATAAGCATCGGTATAAACAACGGCGAGTTGGGCCTGGTCATAAAGCATTTTTTCAAAATGTGGGACATGCCATTTGGAGTCAGTTGAATACCTGGAAAATCCCTAAAGAAGAAAAATATGATTTATAATAGAATTAAAATGGAAGACGTGCAAATAAATCACCTGAGATATATGATCATGGATGCCGCCATTGGCCATTTTGTCAAGGGTGTGCAACGCCATGTCCCTCGCTTTTTGCCCGAGCTCAGAATCTCTCTCCCGTGCCATCGTGTAAAACAGGAACGAAAAGTTTGAAGGTTGTGGAAATTTTGGAGCATGGGAGAATCCGCCAAAAACTGGTTCGTAGCTATCGAAAAGCTGTTTGGAGCACATTTCCCAGACATCTTTCCCAGGGACTTCACCACCGATGAGCGATCCAGCCATCCCCACATCAAAGACAGTCGTCTGTTTTAAGAGTTCCGTGATACGGTTCCCTGTAGCAGAAACCTTCTGTCGCTGTTCAGCCCACTAACCAAAGAATGATCTGCTTAACTTACAAATACTTTCTTTCAGGCCATCATCTTAAAGAAATAAAAGAATCTACAACAATTAACTTGCACTCTACTTTACATGCGGTGATCTTTAAAAAAAAAAATGTTTTTAAACATTTGGGATAAAGGAAACTACAGCTGGAAATAGTCTTACTTGCTGGGCGATGTTTAACAGGACTGTTTTAAATCCAGGCCGACCATAGCTATCCTTTGGAGGGAAATAAGTCCCTCCAGCTACAGGTTTCAAGTCTGGCGTAAGAAAGACGGACATCGGCCAACCACCACTGCCTGAGCTCGCCTTAATAGTTTACCAAATTGATTAAAAAAACAACAACTTTTCAATGCATTTAATACCTGCACAAAAGTCATGTAAATTTTGTCAACATCGGGCCTTTCCTCACGGTCGACTTTAATATTGATGAAGTATTCGTTCATGATAGACGCAACATCTTCGTTTTCAAAGGATTCTCTTTCCATCACATGACACCAATGGCACGTTGAGTAGCCGACAGAAAGAAAAATTAACTTGTCCTCGCTTCTCGCCTTCTGAAACGCCTCCTCACCCCATGGATACCTTTTGCATTTAAAAAGTGTGAAAATTCCCAATGCCAAGATAAAAAGACAACTTGGAATGAATTTATTAAAATTAATTAAGGTTTTTAGTTGAGATAAAAAAGTCAATGGCACAAGCAGGATTCGAACCCACGATCTTCAGCTTGATACGCCGCTGCTCTACCACTTGAGCTATCATGACTTCGATTCACTCGGACATCAATTAAAACTTATTTTTAAGTTTTGTGTTAAAATGAAGTACTGATAATTCTGAATTGAAATGAACTGATAATTTCATATGCCCACTGAGTCAGCTATGTCCAGTTAACAGACCTTCAAGCATTTATCCTAAGTTTTTGCAAGCTTGCTTGCAGAATTCTATAGTAAGTTTAAATTAGGTTTTGTTTTAATTTATGCATTTTTTAAATATATAAATATTAATTACTTTCTATACAAAATTTATCAATTGGCAGTGTGATGGTGATGTGATAACTATAAAAATAAAGAATTGACAAGAACCTGTCCGACCATGGAGATGGAGGAGAGAAGCTTCGAGGAGAGGATTTTGCTGGAACTCTCACTATTAAGGAGGGTTGGTTTATGGTTTCTAAGTCATGAGACCAGTATCAGGTGAATGTTAAAGAAAGGATTTGTCCTAGTGGCATGGTGTGAAGGAGTCCTTGGAGGGGTAGTTGTAGAATTGGTTTTTGGATCAGGTCTGTCATGAATATCTTTGGGATGGTTTGGCTAGTGAAGTACAAGGGAATGTGGAGGATAAATGGTGATTTTGTATTGAAATTATTGGATTCTATAGATGTTGGATGGCTTGGCTGAACCCCACAGTTCAACTCCATAAGGGGGGCATACTGAATAGGTACATCAGCTGTGTTTTTTCTCTAATTCTAGGAAAAACTAACTTCATAATCTCAAAAAAATTCACCACATTTGGTAGAACAATATACAATATATTTTCTCCTGTTAAGACTGCTGAATAATATAATTTAAAAAAAATAAAATAAAATTGACAGATCGTCCTAAATATCAAAATTCATAAAACTGGAGGAATAGAAGTACTAAAAAGAACAAGTGGATCAACAGAATATTCTTTTCCATCCTATTCTACGAATGCATAATTTCAAAACATTCACAACTGCAGAGTTTAAAAGCTCTCCTACTATGACTGCTAATATAAAAAGGGGAAAAAAGTTAAATTGTTTCCTGCTCACCATCAAGTACAGATCAAGAACAGATCACTCAAACACTGGCGCCTCGAAGGTTCATATAATGTCTTAGTTGAAACACTCTCGTAAAAAAAGGAAAGCAAACATCAACAAATTTCATCTAATGGAAAAATCATTTATGAAATTGTCTATGGCAAAGATATTAGTTACTATATTGTCAATATCAAAATTTTCTATGGATGATTAGATCAAAATATCGAGGTCAAAAATAAGTACACCAGCCGTGTTGACTGTGTAGAAGTGAAGGTAGAAATAAGGAATGGAACAACATAATCTTAAGAGCCCACTTCTTCTTCTTCTTCAAGTGCCATGTACTCGTAGAACATTGGCGATCAGTAGCCTGAACTGGTTTCAATCCAAAGATGTTCTAAATAGATCAGCTGTGTTCACTGTGGACCATTGGCTTAAGTTCTTACGCCAGAATGTTCTTCTACACCCTGGGCCACACTTCCCATCTATTTTTCCTTGAAGGATAACCTGCTGCAGAAGGTATTTCTCATTGCGCATTATGTGTCCAAAATATTGTAATTTTCTTCCCTTTATGGTACGGAGGATTTCTAGCTTTTTATTCATGCGCTGTAATGCAGTCACATTAGTGACTGGCTGTCCAAGGTTTCAGAATTTGTCTGTACGTCCACATTTCGAATGCTTCCAGCTTCCGGCATAATGAGTCTGTAAGGGTCACTATTAAGAGCCCACGTAAAATAAATTTATTTAGAACAAATTTCTAGAAAAACTGCACAATTTTCCCCAATCTTTTCAATTATGTTTACAGAAAATAGCTTATCAAAAATAGAGAGCGTTCTTTAATTTACTGAACGATCCCATTTACAGCAACATATCAGCTATCTTCTTTTTTTTTATGCTGCTTTTCAGTTTTCTTCTTCTTCAGTGTTAAAGCAGCTATCTACAAGGCAAAATAATCATTTTCTTTTCCACTTATGCCACACCATTCGTGCGATCAATGCACCAATGCAGTAAACTGACACATCTGAGGGAAAATTGGCGAAACTACAAAAAACTGCAATGTGAATATAACACACTTTTCTGTTCATAACTATGAAAACTGACCGATACACTGAGGGCTATTTATAGCCTAGATTAATTATTTGTCTAATTGTAGTTTGTAAAAAAGGTTTATGAAAAAAATCAATCAATCCTTTTTAAAAAGATAGTTCCTACTCACAGTAAGTTGTTTTGCAACGATCCGGATTTCAAACCCTTAGCTCATCATCAGGTTGAAGGATTTCTACAATCACGTCTCTCGACATGAATTGATGATGAGCTAAAGGCTCGAAATCCGGATCGTTGCAAAACAACTTACTGTGAGTAGGAACTACATTTTTAAAAAGGACTGAACACCGCACTCACTCCATCATTCATCATTTGTAAAATCAATCATGGTTTGTGGGACTATGGTAGCCGAGTGGTCAGCACGATAGACTCTCAGCTCGTAGATCACACGATCGTGGGTTTGATTCACACCGTCGGCCCTGGCCCTTTTTTCTCAGAATATGACTAATTTGCAATATATAAGGCCATTAAATAAATGTATGTAAAAAAAAATCATATTTTACCAGTCAACTGGGTTAGAGGCGTGCTGGAGTAAGTACGGGGAGCGTTCTTTGCCCAGGTGGTTCCTGACTTTAGGCGTCGCCTCAGCTGCCATCTCCCCGCTCGATAAGCGCACTGACGACAGGCTCAACTTTCTGAAACACGAGCAAGGCAGACAATAAGTCATCAATGTGCTGATCGCAGTTTTAAAAAATCGGCACTTGGGGGAATGTCAGACTGGTTCTATAAATTCTAATGTTCTTGTTTGTTTTTTTAATAGAAATTGGGAGCTGTGCCAATAATTTTTGCTTTTATTTGTCTAAACCAAACGGGAGAATAAACAAAAACAGATTACCTCTCATGTGGCAAGAATCGGCAGGAGTTTCTGGAATGGTTCAAATCTAAATATAACGGGTTGAGGCATCGCGATCTGAATGTTGCATATTTTCTGATCAGAACAAACGCTTGACGCTTCCTAAATACGCTTCCGACAAACATAACATTTGAGAATTGACGAATATTCAATGGAAAATACAAAAGGACGGGGAAGCGGCGTAGAAGGCCCCGTGTCGTCGGATTTGGATATTGAAAGGAAAAAATGTGTGTCCGTGAATTGGTGAGTGGGCTAGTAAAAGTCGTGGTTCACTGGTGAAAGCGGCCCATGCCAGAAGTCAATTGGTTTGGTGGTTCAGGCATCAGCTGTTGCCCCAAAAAAATCGGGAGCCAAGGAGGCGAGGTTAGTCCTTCACGTTCGAAGGACGACCGGCGAGGACTGGCGGCGGACGGCGATGGACCGGGTCTAAAAATAAACCGCAGCTCAAAACGATTAAAGTTATATCAAACCCCCTCTTTTGGCTTGAGCTGGTGCGTAGTTCATTGGAATAACAATTAATGATATTTTTTAAATAATAGTTTATGTATTAACACATTTCCAACTCCATCCTATGAACATCATACCAAAGAAATATTTACCAGCAAGCAAACTTTAACAAACGCATAGTTTAATATTTCTTAAATTCTATGAATTCATTACTTTAAAAACATTCACATTTACGAGAACAGGGCCAAAAATATTGTTTCCTAGAGGACTACTTAAAAATGTAATTTTAATAAAATAAAATTGACAGATCATGTTCACTATTCAATTTACAATTACTGGAGGATAGAACTACCAAAAAGAACAAATTGACTCTCAGAACATTGTTTTTTTTTCCAATTCTATGAATACGTTACTTTAAAAACATTCACAACATTTGCGAGAAAAGGAACAAAAATCTTGTTTCCTATTATGACAACTGAATAATAAATTTTCAAAAAAGATAATTGACAGATCATGTTCAATATCTAAATTTACAATTACTGGGGGAATAGAACTACCAAAAAAGACAAATTGACTTACAGAACATTGCTTTTCTTCCAATTCTATGAATACGTTACTTTAAAAACATTCACATTTACGAGAACAGGGCCAAAAATATTGTTTCCTATAGGACTACTTAAAAATGTAATTTTAATAAAATAAAGTTGACAGATCATGTTCACTATCCAATTTACAATTACTGGAGGATAGAACTACCAAAAAGAACAAATTGGCTCTCAGAACATTATTTTTTTCCAATTCTATGAATACGTTACTTTAAAAACATTCACAACATTTGCGAGAAAAGGATCAAAAATCTTGTTTCCTATTATGACAACTGAATAATACAATTTAAAAAAAGTTAATTGACAGATCATGTTCAATATCCAATTTACAATTACTGGGGGAATGGAACTACTGAAAAGAACAAATTGACTTTCAGAACATTTCTTTTCTTCTAATTCTATGATTATGTTGTGAATATGTTACTTTAAAAACACTTACATTTGTGAGAACCAGGCCCAAAACCTTTTTAAGTATTATGACTGCTGAAAAATATAATTTAAAAAAAAGTTAATTGACAGATCATGTTCAATATCCAAATTTACAATTACTGGGGGAATAGAACTACCCAAAAGAACAAATTGACTTACAGAACATTGATTTTCTTGCAATTCTATGAATACATTACTTTAAAAACATTCACATTTGTGAGAACAGGGCCAAAAGTCTTGTTTCCTATTATGACTACTGAATAATACAATTAAAAAAAATAAATAATTGACATATCACGTTCAATATCCAAATTTAAAATTACTGGGGGAATAGAACTACCAAAAATAATAATTGAACTAACAGAACTTTGCTTTTCCTATAATCACATGAATGCATAACTTCTAAAACGGCCACATTTGCTAGAACATGGCCCAAAATCTTTCCTCCTATTATGACTATTGAATAATACAATTTAAAAAAACTATAATTGGCAGATCATGCTCAGTATCTAAATGTACAATCGCTCAAGGAATGCAGGTATTAAAAAGAACACAGGATGAAAAGAACATTTGTTTTCTTCCAATTCTATGAATACATGACTTCAAAAACACTCACAACTTCATTTGCAATTACAATGTGCAATACTCTTCTTTTACTAAGACTGCTAATATAATAATTTAAAAAAAAGTTAATTAATATAATGTTCAACATCATAATCTGCAATGGCTGAAGAATTATAAGTATCAAAAAGAATAACCCAACTAACAAAACATTGCTTTTCTTCCAATTCTAGGAACAACTAACTTCATAACTTCAAAAACATTCACCACATTACAGATCACTCAAACACCAGCACGGTTCATATAACCTCATAGTTGAAATACTCTTGGAAAAAAGCAAACATCAACATACAATTGAACATTTTTGAAATTGTCTATTGTAAAACATTGTATTGCAAAGTAATTAGTTACTATATTCGCAATATCAAAATTGTCTATGGCTGATTGGATCAAAATATCAAGAATGTCGAAAAAGTAAAAATTATTTTGTATTATAATTATTATTATTATTAAGTATTAAATAATACTTCTTTAAAGGTAAAAATAGTTTATCCTATGTTAAAATGTCTTCTTTGTATATATTTTTTAAAAATTACAACAAAAAAATTTAATTTTCATATTGCTACAGTTGTTTAAAATAAAACTGCAATGTAATGTAATTTACATAATGATCAATGTGATAATTTAAAATGGGAAAATCCTAGGAAGAATAGTTAAAATATGATACAACAACCAAACTTGACATTCACCGTTATTATTTGATGTTTATTTTTTCAGTCAAATTTTTGCCCTGTCAAATGCATATTAAATTAGAAATCACACAATGAATTACTTTATCTATTCTGTTTTGTTCACCAAGGAAAGATATTTTTATAACAAAAACTAATTTTACAAAAATATCTATTTTTATGTTTTATTGTTTCCTCGATAAAGTATCAAACATGAACATTTTTTATGCTCTTTGTTCCCAATAATGATTCTTTGAGACCACTGCAAATTGACGAATATGACAAGGACTATAACTATCATTAAGCCTACATTATTATCGCATGGCTTAATGTTGACTTTGTTACATTTTTCTAAAAGGTTGGAACAAAAAAATGACGTTCACAATTTTTATAAAAATTCTTACTGCTGCGTTTGTGAAATTTTTTCATTACAGTTTATGCTACATCCACTACTTTCTTTTTGTACCCCCCCCCTTTGTAAGCGAACGACGGCGCGGCGGCCAAATTATCTCTCGATATTCGCTTGCTTTTCTCTAAGCGAAAAGAAATTAGTCAGCGTAAGCGCATCGCTACTTATTCTTGTGTAGGAGAAGGTAAGGTTCCAGAATTCAATAAACCAGAGAGCATATTCAGTGACATTTATTGTACACAATTCCTTCTCTTAACGGTACCCAAACCACAGAATCTTGATTAATCTACAAGTCAGCCACAACTCTAAATATGGGATGAGTCTATCAATAAAGGGACTTAACACAAACGATGCTCACCACGAACAGTGTCTACAGCATCTTTTCTCTCAACCGTTTACTTGGCTCGATTGGTCGCAACGTCTGATCCTCGCTGGCTCTGGCTGGCTGAGTTCTCTTGTTGAATCCCAGACGGAGTGTGGCTGCTTCTCTCCCGGTCCTTGGTCTTGACTGCCAAGGGGGCGAGTCTCTGGTTTTGACTGCCTGGAGTGAGTCTTTGATTTTGATTGACTTTTGATTTCCCAGTCATCCATTTTATACCGGTTCTCTCCCGGAGTAGGGGTAGAAAGGAAACTCAAAAGTCGGGGGAGTTCCGCAGGTGGGCCGGCGAAGACGGGTGTCAAGCACAGGGTTGACGCGACCCCAATTTACAATGTCCCCCGTGGCTACATATTTTTGACCGTGTGACAACCCTTCAGCATTAAATAACTAGATGATAGTTATTTATCTGATCGGTTGTCCAGCTATTTCTACTTTACGTTCTCCAGGTTCGTGGGAAACAAGACGTGGGCCCAGCCTGGATCTGCCACACACTTTGACGTTCTTATCTATCTGTCCACCTGGGTAATTATTTCCAAGTTATTTTTTGACAGATTTGAGGGGGCGTCACGTCGTTCCTGTCTGGGTGGTCGCCCCTTCAGATTGGCAATCTTTGTTCCCTTCCATTGTTTACCCTATTTTGTTCTTATTTTAACAACTAAAACTTATCCCTAAGACGGGGACCGGGCTTACACAGCTATACACTCCACAAGAACTATGTGTGAATATTGAGTAGGTACATACTTAACTAAAAGTATTGTTTTAATTATTTTAAAAACATTTTGTAATTTATTTTTTACCTTTATTATTTTTAATTTTGATCATTTTTAATGTACTTTTATTTTTTATAAACTTTTATTGCACTTATTATTAATTTTTTAAATAAATTTTTATAAAATAATAATCTTGTTTTTTCAAATGAAAAATATGAAAGTGTCAAAATATTAACAAATTGAACTATCAAAAATGCCGCATTAGCACTTTTGAAACAAAGAAACAAGAAAAATCACTGGTTAGTGCTCATATTTAAAGTGACAAATATAAGTTTTTGATAAGTAAAATACATACTGAAAAATTATCAATTTCAATACCAGCCTAAAAGGAATTAAAAACTGCATAGAACATACGTAAATTGTAAAAGTGCTGATTTTGGATTCACTATCAAATAGCTTTTTTTTCTCTCCTGAAAAGTACCAATTTTCAAATACAATAATTTGAATAGAGACAATCTAAATGCTGAATCAGGGTAAAATAAGGATTAGAAAAGTGCATTATATTTATTTCCAGCTCATAACAATATTACCATTGCAGAATTTTTACATACTTTTTTTTTAAATAATACTTCATTTCTGATTGCATTATGTTTCACAATCAAAAGCTTGCTTGGCAATTGTTTTTATTATATATTTTATTTTAAAGCTTCCATATTTTGTAATATATACAAATAGACTCATTTCTTTTTAAAGAATATATTCATGTATAAATTTGTATTTCTTAGTGGGCCGTCTCCCACAAAAGGAATGATCAATTTATAAGTGCCGTCTTGTTATACCTTGTTTTTATTAGTAACACTATCAAAATAAGTTGATAATTAAATATTCCTTCTTTTTTCTTTTTTTTAACATACCCAGCACTTATAATACATATAATAAAATTGTACCAAAACTTTAAAAGATACAAACATTCACATAAATATCAAAGAAAGCTAACGTTTACTAATATCAATTTATACAATTTTTAACACCATAATAAAATATTCCATTTATATTTTTCTAATATAAGATATTCTTTTCGAACAAACCCTTAGCACTAAATAAACAATTAATAATTCAACAAAAACGAAATATGTAAACAACAACATGGAACATATATGTCAGTATGTTT